AAAACGCTAAGAAGGGTGCACCTGCCGTACATGATTTTGGGACCAGGGGGTCGAAGCCAACCCCCTGCTAAACGACAAATTCTCAAACATGGTGATGGCGACTGTTCCTTAAACGATACGCCTCAACATCTGCATCATGATACTCCTCGTCCCCTATCATATTCCGTCTCCTCCTCCTTCTACCAATTGTCCGCCACATAATTGTCATGCCCCACTTCTCCTCCTCTTTTTAATTATACGTCCCCTGCTGCTCCTCCTGTCACTCCTCCTCCTCCTCCTTCCCTTTCCCTTCATTATCCTCCTCCTCAGTATTTCTCCTCCTCCTCCTCCTCCTCTTCCTCCTCTTCCTCCTCCTCCTCGTGCACTACACCTGATCCGACGCCTCTGCTCGCACTCGTCTGCCTCATCTCACTTTCCCTACTCATAGCACGTTCCCCTGCTCCTTCCAAAGGGGCGACGGGAGGAGGCTGGGAAGGTAGAGGACGAATCATATCGTAAGGATGGGGATGTCGCTAGGGAGCGCGAGAGGAGGTCAAAACCAGATTGGGCATAGTTATCGGACCATGGTCCAGTGTAGTTGTGTATACTGAATCCTGTTTGTTCACGGTCCAAAAGGGCTCGGAATCGCCGAAAGACTTGTCCAGAGTCCAGGGTCCCAAAACAAAAATCAGGACGGGCCAAGAGTGGCCCTCAAGACGGTCCCAGAGGGCCCTGAATCGCCGAACGATCTATCCATGACGCCTCCCTGAGATCCCTTTCCGTCGGGGGGGGCCGTAATGAGGTCTGTTTCGTCCACAATCGGAATGTCGCCAAGATGGCCTTGAAACTACAGTGAACCCTTAGCGGTGACGGATTTGATATTGAAGTAAACACGGGGGCCTGGTGTCGAAACTCCCACGCGCGCGCGCGTGAGGAGTTCCGGATCGTCCACAATGGAAAAATCGCCATGCTGGCCAGTCACTTGGGACTGGGCTGCGCACGAGCGGGCAAAATGTGACCCTCGCACAGTGTGGCCCTCGCGCAGACCTGGCCTCAATTTGGCACGACGATCCGATTGCGCACGGGGACTGTTTTCGCTCGCAGGCGCCGGAAAGCGGCAGCGGAGCCGCACGCGAGCGGGCGCAATCGTACTATCGCCAGACGGCCGCGCAGAGTTCGCGTGAAGAGAGGTAATGCTGCTTCGTCGCGGCACACATGGATTAGCGATCCATGGATTTGGCGCGCGGTCGCCAAATCCATGGATCGCGGAAGGTGCCCTCCCCCAAATGCAGCCGGTGCCGCATTGTTGGGCGACGGAAATCCGCAATTTCCCATGGAAACGGGACCCGTCGCTAATCCACGCCCCCTTGATCCATGTTTACGATCGCCAGAAAGCTAGACGCACAGATTGTAAGGAGGGTGCTCGCGCCGCAAAGCGCGCACAAATGTTCAGGAAGTTCAGGTCCCGCCAATGTGCGGCCTGTGTTTTTCCCGCTCGCAACGTCGTCGGAAGCGGGACCGCGCGCAAAAATGCTCGTTCGCTTGGTGTGAGCGCGCGCCATCCCCAAATCGTCCCAGCACTCTCTTTTTATGTGTGGTGGGAAAGGGTGACAGTGGGAAGGGCCCGCTGACTCGATCGACCTGGGTGAATTGACTCCTGTCTTCAACCCTGATTCGTATACACTCCCACTCTGCGACGCATCCGGCTGGTAGCGATACTATCTGGGGCGTTCCTCCCAACCGTTCAAAACCGATGCAATATCGATGTTCCCTCTTCACATCACGTTTTGTTGTCGCCGCTGCAAAATGTGTGGCTGGAATTCAGCACGACGTACGCGCGCGAAAGGCGAAATGCTGTTCTCGCCAGGGCGCTGCGCTCATTTTTCTGGGAATTGAATTCCTAAGTGGGCGAGGCGCGCACATTTCGCTTGCCCCTTCGTCGACAGCATGGTCATGCGCAAGCGGGCGAAACGTCGTTCTCGCCTCGCCCACGAGGAAGATTTCGCTTAGAACTGACACTCCCGCTTGGGCTGTGCGCGTATGCTTGACTCGCCGAGCCATTGGGTGCAACCACAATGCAAATTTAGCCTGGACGTGGCGCTGCGTGTCGACCGCAACGCACATGTTTCACTCCCCCAGACATTGGGGGTGGGGCCGAGCGCGGGCGGGCGCTTTGTCACCCTCGCCAACAACTCGGTGCGGATTTCGCCTGCAAGTGGCGTTCCCGCTCAGGCGCGGCGCATACTTTTCGGTCGCCGAGTCGCGAGGAAGCGACAACGGGGTCGCGCGAAAGCGGGCGAAATGTAATCGGCAAAGTACAGCTTCGGCGGGGGCGCGACGCATTCTTCGTCTTCCCCGAGCTCATCGGAAGTTTGGCAGCGCGAGAGAAAGAGAACTAGTACTCTCGCAGCAGCGCCGCGCAAGAATGCTTGGAAGCTCCGCTCGCGAAAGTGCGCGGCACATGTTCCCCTCATAAGTCATCGGATGCGGGACCGCGCGCGAGCGCCTTCCGTTCAGCGTGTGAGGGGGGACGCGCGCCACTCCTGATACTAAATTGCGCCATCGTTGGTTCGTATGTGATGGGCGGGGGGATTGGAATTGGCAGGGCATGCTGACTCGTTCGCTCGGTCTCATGGGACGTCCACTCTTAAATACTCATGGTCATACTCAAACTATTTTGACTCAAGGATCGCCAGAATGTGTTGTTGTCGACAGCGAGCGCACAAGAGTTGCATGTGCCTGGCCTAGAGCCATGGACGCCAATGCCAAATGCCAACGTGTCGCAACCACGCGTTCTGAAGCCGTGAGCGTCAACGCTGATGCCAGATTCTAAACGCAATATCGGAGCCCGCCTTCGCGGCGAATTCTCTTACGCGCCTGGTGCCAGCGGACATCGCTGTCCTGAAAATATCTGGGTGATCAGCAGCGTTGGAAGCGGGCATCCAAAGAAAATCAAAACCGGCAACGGATGAAACATAACGCCTGGCCTACTGCTCCCAGTCCGCACATCAGCAGAGCCGTTCCGCCTCCTCCTCCTCGTCCTGAACGGCAGCAGGTCGCAGAAAAACACGCCTTGCCAGAACTCTCGACCCCCTGCTTGTGGGAACTCGATCGATACGCGAGAGGAGGAGGAAGAGAAGGAGGGAGGAGGGAGGGGGGAGGAGAAGGAGGAGGAGGAGAGGAGGGGAGGGGAAGGAGGAGAGGGGAGGAGAGGAGGGAGGAGAGGGGAAGGGAGGGGAGGGGAGGAGAGAGGGGAGGGGAGGGGAGGAGGGAGGGGAGGGGAGAGGAAGGGAGGAGAGGAGGGAGGAGGAGGAGGAGGAAAAGGAAGAGGAAGAAAAGGAGGAGGAGGAGGAGGAGGAGGAGGGCCCCGAAACGGGTCGGAAAATCCGGTGCGATGTTGTTTAGCGACGCCTGGAGAGTCCGCCGCCTCCTCCCCTTCGCGCCTCCCCTCGAGTTCTCCTGCAGCATGATCTGCCCAATCCAGTCGAGGGCGTCCGAGGAGGTTCAAAACAGGCAGGGGATATCAAAGTAAATCCCGGATCTCTTTCACTTTCCCTTTCCTTCTCCCCCTCCGCCCTATTGGATCGTCGTCGGCACCTGGTGGCGATCTCGAGGCGGATCCCGCCCTGGCGACGAGACAGCGCCCCCGGAGTCACAGAAAGAAATCTTGAACGCAAGTTTGAAAACTTTGATCCTCGGTCCTCGAATGCCCCTACGCCTACGTCCTCCCCCCTGGAAATCTTCCAGGGTCTCCGCAGATGTGCAAAAGTAAAGGGGCCCTGGGACACACACACATTGGATAGACACAAATAACAGGATTCCCCATATTTGGGGTGTTCGTCTTCCCACTTCCCATAGTTTCCCATGTTTCACTGGGAAGTGACTACTTGTGTCTGTGTGTGTTTTACCTCCTGGGAAAGGTGTCGGAGGCACCACGCCTCCAAAGGCCCGAGGGGGCCCCCTGGATCAACCCCGGACGCCTGCAGAGACCACAAGCGCCCATAAGTAGTGATGTTCAACACGATCGCCATCGTCGTCACCGTCCGTCATCGTCGCCGGTCGTCCGTCTTATGTTGGATCTATTAGGGAACTGTGGCCACGCGACCTGGCCGTCCGCGGCATATCCAAAGCCACTCGAGGCTATCCGAGGCCGTCCACCGAAGCAAGAGTCCCGGACAGAGGATGGCTCCCACAGATTACACGCCAGCCTGTTGTCGTCGTCGTCGTCGTCGTCGTCGTCCAGCGTCGATCGTCTATCGTCGGTCGTCCTTGTCGGTTGACGTCGTCGTCGAGAGGAGGACCGTCGTCCGTCGTCTGTGGCCATCTGTCCATCCGTCCGTCCGTCCGTCCGTCCGTCCGTCCGTCCGTCCGTCGTCGTCGTCGTCGTCGTCGTCGTCGTCGTCGTCGTCGTCGTCGTCATCATCGTCGTCGCCTGTCGTGGTCGTATCTCGTGGTCTGGTGTCATCCTCCCCTCCTCCTCCTCCTCCTCCTCCTTGTCCTCCTCCTCCTCCTCCTCCTCCTCCCCCTCCTCTTCCACCGCCGGTAATTATGATCGGTCGGTCGGTCGTCGGTCGCTGGTGACGAGCCGTCGTCTCTCGTCGGTCGTCCCACGCTGCCGTCGCCGACGCCGACGACCGACCAACCGTGGTCCAGCGTCGGGCGGTCGTCGCCTTTCGTCGTCGTCGAGGGTTGAGAAACAGCAGACGGGTCCTGTCCTGAAAGGAACGGGCCCAGGACCCAAAAGAGGATTTGCCAGGACCAACCTTGCGTCCCGAGCCGCTTCTCGACAGTCCTCGGGACCCGTGGAAAGTTCGGAGGCGAAAGATACGGCGGACGTCCAGGACGACTCTGGGACCCCCCGCAACGCTGTCGCCGAGGCGCAGCTGATTGACAACGCCCTTGGCCCCGAGAGCCCCACTGAACCGCTTGGCAGCGCGCACACAGGAGGGTAAGGGGAGGGGGGAAGGCTCGCAGAGCGGACTCGTAGCCCAATCGGTCAAGGGCCCTGGAAAATAATTAGAGCCAAAAGAGCGGCGGCAGAGAGCAGGTGAGGAGAGCAACGGGTTTTCTGGAATCACACTCCTCCTGCACGGTGCGCGGGCGCAAGCGGCTGAGGCGCCAGAGCAGCCGGGCATACAAGCCTGGCTCTTCATTAAACGTAGTGCCAGGCGTGCTGGCAGAAAGGGAGCAAACGGCTCGACACGGCTTGCATTGCAGGCAGCCCCTTTGGGCACTTAAACGGATGCGATGCACGCGACCTGCAGGAGACGATCGGCTTTCAGCACTGCTGGCGCTGTAATCAAACACAGGCAAGGCTAGCAATAACAAGGATTCGATCGCGAAGCGACAAAATCCAAACATAGCTATCTGATCGAGATAAGGTCTGAATTGGTGCGATCGTCATCATAATTTTGAAACAAAACTTGTGCACACTGAACGAAGCTGCTCTAAATTCGGATTTGCGTTTGAATAGCCGGGTGTGGAAACTGAGTAGCAATGTGGGCTTACGTGTAGATAGCCAGGTGTGGAAACTCAGCAGCAATGTTGAAATACATGCAAATAGCTGGGTGTGAAAACTAAGCCGCACAATACTTGCTGGTTCGAACGGCCAACCTGCCGTCCGAACACCCAGCGGGGTTCATCTTTCCTTATTGGGCTTCGTCGGCTTGTCCATCAGGTCAGGTCCGCGCCAGTAGTCTCTACCGGTGAGCCTCCTCCAATGGCCCATGAGATCATTCATCGCGCCTTCGGGAAAGTTCGTGAAATCGGGATTGATGTGGTTGTCGAACCGGAGAGGCCATGAAGAGTGCTTCTTACAGGTATTGCAGGTAATGTAGACGCTATGCGGGTCACGCTGGATTCTGAAATCGTGGCGGGGGGCGGCGGTCACACAATTGAGCACCTCGTTCGACGATGCCGTCGGCGATGAACCGTTCCACGAAACCACGCTCGCAGGTACTGAAGTCGATGAACTCGATGCGGTGACTATGCTTGGTGAGGTAGGGGCTGAAACCGAACTCTGGGATCTCCTCGATCGTGCTGATGTTGCGGTACGTGGCGCGCTGGCAGTCGGTGGTTCTGGAAGCAGGAGTGGCGGCGGTGGTGCTGACATCGGCGGCTGCGATGAGTGGCGTCCGAGAGACGCGCCGGAAGCTGATGCTGATGAACTTGATGCCTACGCGCTGTGTCCATCCGAAAGGTACATCGCGGCGTCGCCGTCGCAATCGCGATCCACGGGGATTGCAGCTGGAATGTTACGGCGCCGGCAGAGCACGCGGCCGTCCCAGCCGGGGTGCTCGCCCATTGCCTTCGCCTCGGCGACGTGCTCCTCGGCGGCGATCATGCCGTTGTGCCTCATGGTCGCCCGGAACGTCACGAAGATGCCGAGACCGATACTCATACCAAGGACTAACGTGAACGTCATGAGGCAGATGTAGAAGCTGTAGTCCGGCACCGTCGGCGCAGGCGTTGGCTGCCCCTTGACCTTGCCGAGGCAGGTAAACAAGACTGAGGCGAACATGGCGGCGCGCGGCTGCCGGGCACCGTAGCTGCGCTTGCGGGCCCCGAAGAATGCCAGCAGGGCGCCGGCCCCCACTGCCTTGGGCAAGGCGTCCGCGACCATGGCCCGGGTCGGGGTCCAGTTGAGCTCGAGTGCACTGTTGGGGCGCGCGGCCTCCTTCATCATGGAGGCGACGATGCGGAATCGCGCGTCGGTGGACTGGCCCACATCAGAAGCGATGTGCGTCACGAGATCCTTGCTGTCGTTGTAGATCCCCCAAGGCGCTTGTGGGCGAGGGCGTCGGTCTGCTTGAACGCCATCTTGGGGATGTAGGCCTCGGTCAGTAGCTGGCGGAACCAGATGTTGGTCTCCGACCCCTCGAGGGTCGCGTAGCCCTCGGCAGCGAGCGTCGACTTCACCGACCTTTTGACCGCGCCCGAGTGCCAGGCCACGGGTAGGCAAAGGTCGCAGCGGCCGCCGACGACATCGCGCGGGCGGCGAGCGAGCCCCAACACCATGCCCCACTGGCCCTTAACCCCGTCCACGTTGGCGAACGCAGCATCGCTGAAGCACGCGGTGGTGGCCATCATCAGATCGACGAGCCTGCGCTTCAGCGCGCTCGCGAAAATCGCGGCCGAGTGCACGTAGGCGACGGTATTCTTCATGGTCTTCGCGTCGGCCACGGTGGCGACGTTGGTGCGGCGGCCTGCAAAGCTCACCGGGCAGGCGATGCCCACCCGGGTCCGGACTGCGAACCATAGCAGCTGCCCGAGCGTGTGGCGGTAGCTCGTCACCTCGGTGGCAGTGAGCCGATCCTCGGCATTTCGGCCCTTCGGGACCATCAGGTCGATGTAATCCACCTGCGAAGCGGCGGTGGCCTGGGTCGCCCGAAACTCGTCGTCGAACTTGGTGATTGTACGTCCACAACTCTTGATGACCCCGTCGACTAATGGACTTCCGCTTGGTGGAACTGTTACGCTGGGCGATCAGCAAGTCGTCCACGTGGGAAATGGATAACCGCGGCGAGCCCATCTTCGTCGTAGAAATAGTGAAAGCCCTTCTCGAGCTCGCTCTCTACGAGGCCGTGTTCGGCGAAGACAACGGGGCGTAGGGATGCCGCTGCCTCACGGCGTCGCGCGCCCTGTAGATCGCGCCCGCGGCCATCGCGACCTCGCCAGGCTGCGCCCCCAGCGGCGGCTTCTTGTCCGGCATGCGCAGGAGCAGCAGCCTCTCGATGTTCCCCGGCTGTAGTCGGCCGTCATTGCGTCGTTGGACGAGATGTCACAGTTCTTCTGGGCCGCGGTGGCCAGGGCAAGGTACAGCGCGCCCCTGGACCCCGTAGGCGCGTCCGTCCTGATCTGTGATTTGTCCTCCTGGCAGCCCTGCACGACTAGACGGGCCTGCATGACGTTCTGGCCCTTGCTAGTCAGCACCCAGCGTGCGCCCGCAGGGCGAATGCCAGGGTTGCGCCGCAGGAGCTCCCTCAGCCCCCTGGGCGGGAGCTTCTTGTAGGCGCCGAACTCCGTCCACTTGGACCAATCGGTCTTCATGGCGGCGCCCATGTTCTTCTTCTCGTAGGCGCTGAGGGCGTCGCACTTGAATTCCTGTGCGGTCGCGCTGCCCGTGAGCAGAGCCTCACGGAGTCGCGTGCTTGCGTGTAGCTCGTCCGCGTGCGTCTGGAAGACAGTTTCAAAGTAGAGGTCGACCTTGTTCGTGTCCTTCGGCCTCTTGAAGCACATGGGCAAATCGTCCAACATATCCCTGCGCTCGGCTGCGCGCTCGGGCGGGTCGGGCTCGCGGTCGCGTCGAAGAGCATGCGGTGCGGATTAGTGTTGGCCCTGTCGCTGTGCCTTCGTGCCGCGCTGGCTCTCGGTGTCCAATGGGCGCCTTGCCACTGTCTCCTGTCGGGATTGCTCCTCCGCGGCCCTTTGCCATTCCCTGGTCGTGTCCGATCTGGAGCTGCCGGACTTCCCGTCGCCCTCGGCGTCGCCGACCCGGCCCTGAGGCGCGGGTTCAGGATGTTGATGAAAATCTGCGGCGGCAGAGGCAGCAGGGTGATCAGCGGCGGCAGGAGCGGCAGCTGCGCCTGAGCCCATGGCGGGCGCCGCAGGGGGCGGCGCCGCCGGCAGCGGCTGCACCGCGTCTCCTCCAGAAGGCGGTGGGGCTGCTCCTCCACTGCCGCTAGCTCCTCCACTGTTTGCGAAATCACCGTCTCCCTGTTTGCGTGCCAGCCATTCGGCGCATTGATGGGCGCGCTGGTTCGCTGCGGCGTTCTAGATGTTCCCGAAATTGTGTGCTCGGATGGCTGGCTGCTGAACTGGCGCTGGTAGCGCTGGTGGTGGAGGCTGTTCTTCGCTCCGGGGTTGCTTCTGAGGCGTTGGTCCCGAGAGGTCGAAGAAGGTGTCCTCGTCGTCTCGCGGCGGTGCAGGGCCGTCGCGTCCTCCATCGTGGCCAGGCGGCGGGGGCCCACCACCTGCGCCACCGTCGCCTCCTCCAAAATCGGAAGGAGGTGCGGGCCCTGAAATCCCCGGCGGGGCGCCCGGCGGTGGCCCGGGCGGCTGGCTGCCGCGCGGCGCGTTCAGCATTTGCCCCCGCGGAGCGAGCTCCGATGCCGCGGCGTGGCGTAGGTGCCCACGATTGACCTTCGCGGTCGTGGAGCTGTGGCTGACCCAGACGTTCGAGGCACCCTCGAACCCGATGGTGACGCCGGGCCCGTGCCACTGCAAAGCCCATTATCGCTTGGGCTTGCCGTTGCCCCTCCAGAAGTGCACCTGGTCGCCAGTCTGGTAGACGTCGCTGGCTTGCTGAGCTACATCTGCCCGAGACCGGGCCAGCAGCGCTCGACAGGGACTGGTTGAATCTTAGCTGCTCGTGGGGATCTGCGCGGCCTTCATGATGGCGACCCTCTCTGAGAAAGGCTCGTCGAACACGATGCCCTCGCGCTGGGAAAGCCTGCCCGCGTTGTCCAGCAAGCAGCACGGAAGCCGAAGGCCTCGCCCGAGCACCCACTGCGACGGCGAGTAGCCCGTGGAATGGCTGTTCATGGCACAGCACACGGAGGCGATCAGCCACTGGACCTTGTGGGCGATCTCGGGCCGGTCGAACCTGATGCTAAACTGGTCGATCAGCTTCCTCGCGTGCACCTTCCACAGTCCTCCACGTCGCTCCACGGTTGCATTCTGCTGCGGCGTAGCCGCAGGTGGTCATCAGACGGCAACCCGTGCCCCCCAGCTCCTTGGAGAACTCTCGCTCGAACTCGCCTCCTCCATCAAATATGACGCGTTGAGGCGCGCCGAAAAGCGCGATCCAAATCTGCAACAGTCGAGCGAATGCAGCTGGCGGGTGCCTTGAGGCAACCGGGCCGCACATCGTAAAACCCAAGGCCAGGTGAACCACGCTCAGGTAGATCAGCTGGTTGCCCGCGTAGTCGGCCAGGGTAAAGGGCCACTCGATGGAGTCGTTGAATTTCCTTTCCAATCTGATAATGCCTGGCAGGTGTGGTAGTGGCCGTTGATGTGCTGCACAGACCTCACAGTAGAGGTTGAGAGCCATCGCTATAGACCTCTGCGATCCACCTGTCACGCGGATAGCTCGAGCAAGCGAGTATTTGGACGAGTGCCCCGTGTTCACGTGGAGCTGCATCGCGGCGGACCTGTGCGCCCGCTCCTCCGCAGACGTGAGCGCTGGTTCCTGCGCGGCACCGGCGGCCAGAACCGCCCTCCTGCTCGCCCTTCTTGCTGTAGGGTGTGCTTCGCGTAGGGGTCGGCGGTTTGGTCGCTGCAGTTGTTCGGCCAACACCTTCGCGACCTTGCGCTGGTAGTTGTCGCTGATATTTGCGATCTTGCCGCGAGCCTCGTCGTGGGGGTGCGACCTATCGCAGAGCCTCTTGAGCGAGTCATCGAACACGTAGTGGTCGGTGATGACCCCCCATGGCTCCCTGATGTGGACGCCCTTCTGCGTCTTGAAGTCAAGCGCGCAGCCGTCGAAGTCCATCGCTCGCGGGAGCTGCTCTTTCAGCTGCTTAGCGGTTGAATTCTTGTGGGGCCCCATCCGTCGCAGCACCTCGGCCACTCGAACGAGACGGCGAGCTGGGCGCCGAACTCCTTGCGCAGCCGGGACACGGCCTGCAGGAACAGTCCGATCATGAGCTTGGACTTGGCCCGATCCTTCTTGAGCTGCGGGATCTCACTCGGGCCAAACGTCACGACAAGTCGCTGTAGTGAGGTCCACGGCTGGCAAGGGAATGCAGCGTGAACTGACGCACTGTTGCCGCGTGCAAGATTGGACCTGATCCCGCCCTCCAGCTTGTTGACCACGAACTTGTTAGAGAGGTCGTAGCCTGAGCTGACTGTCCGGGTTGCAGCGCCACTCGTAAAGCACGGTGCTGCTCGCTGTGGACGTAGAGCTGGATCCGGCAAAAGATGTCGCAAAAAGTTGGTGACCAAAGCCTGGCTGATTTGATGCGGCTGGATGCCGCTCTGTCTGGTGACGAAAGCCGAACGCTTGCATGCGATCAGCTGCGGCTTCGTCCCCTTCTTGAGCATCCGCGCGCGCGGCTGTTTCCCCTCCGCGATGTTGACATCGGGTCCGGGACTGGCGTCTGCGATGCCATCGGGTCCCTGGTCGTAACCCAGAGTCGCGGACGCACCGAAAACGCAGTCCGAGCAGAACCCCCGGTGGCTGCCGACCTCGCAGGCCTTCTCGCCGCAGGCGATGCAGTCCTGCAGCGGCTCGGTCACGCGCGTCGCGGGGTAGGTGGTCTGCTGCAGCGTCGCCAACGTGAGGCTCGGAGCTGGCGCTGCGTTGGAGCAGCGAGCCAAAGCTGAAGCCGCGGCAGACGAAAGCCGTGACCCCTCCGTCGACGAGGCTGGAGTCGCCCCGGGGCATTCAGCTCCTTCTTCGCGACGAGCTTGTTAAGCGCATCAATCAGCGTGCCGGTCTTGATCGTGGCGTTGACCGTAGGGTCGTCGCTCACCTTCGGTCGACTGGGTGGCTGGGCAGGTCGCCCCGCGCCAGCGACCTTGATGGCCTGCCGGTCCTCCGGCTGCAACTTGCTCGCGGGGTGGCCCGCGGTTCTCGCCATGAGCTCCTGGGGGGGGCTCCCGATGCGGATCCGGCGTTTCCAGAAAGATGTCGATCTTGGAAGCCTGTGCGAAGTCGCGGCCAATGGGCAGGCCAACCGCGGGGCTGTCCACGACGCTGAACACGATGCGGCCGGCCTTGCCGCATAGCATAGCACAAGTGGTGCGGTGGCGCGCAGCTTGCTCGGCGCGGCACCTCGGCTGGCGAACCTGTAGAATTCGCCCTCGGGTTCCTCGAGGATCTGGTCGGCGAGGCCCATCCTGGCGAGGATGCCCCTGTAGTTGTCGCGCCACTTACTGCCCGAAACACAGAAAAGGCAAGCGGCACCCACCACGCCGACGCCTTCGTCCGCGGGCTTCCCGTTGCCGATCGCGACGCTCACGTTCGGCAGGTGATGAATCAGCCGCTCTGAGACGCAGGCCTCAGGTGGCGGCGACGCGAGTCCCTGCGGGTGAAGAGCAATTTCCTTGACTGCGAACTGGACCTGGTCGGTGATGCGCGCCTGGCGCTGCGGGCGACCACCTCGGCCCCCCCCCGCCCACCGCCCTTGGACTTGCCGCCCCCGGGCTCGAACTTGCGAGCGCTGGGCGCGGGGCGCTCCAAATCTCCTGTCCAGCGCCCGGTCTCGCCGCAGCCCCAGCGCCGCGACGTCTTCTCGCGCTGGGAGACCCGGTCCTGGAGCTTGGCCAGGCGGCGAGACGGCGCGGACTTGTTCGACTTGCCGCGGCCCTTCAGGGCCTCCCGGGCTGACCCGATGGTGGCCATGGCCTCGGGAATGGCGGCAAGCTCCGCCGCGGCGGCCTCGACCTTGGCAGAGCCATCGCCGTCGAGTAGCGGGGGGGTGCCCAAGTTGGAAGACTCGAGCTCGGCGCTGAAGGCCTCGAACTCCCGGCGAAAGATGTCCTGCGCGTCGGCCTCGTCCTCGTCGCCCCGCTCTTGCTCTTGGTCGCCCTCGTCGGCGGGCTCGTCGACGACGTCAGTAGATCGCCCTCCGCGACTGGAGGAAGCGTTGCTGCGCAAGCCGCCATGGGGGCGCGACTGGTTGCTCCTCGAGGGCGGCGGGGCGCGGCGCTCGGAGATGTGGATGTCCGGAAACACCCGCGCCAGCAGTCCACGGATGCGCTGGTAGCCGCAGTGTTCGTCGGGTAGGTCGTCCACGACGCGATCGCGGCGCCCGGCCGTGAGCGCGGCGATCTGCACGGGCTCTGCTGACCCAGGTTCGCCCCCAAGTGCCGTGGTACCCTCTCGACGCCGACCTGATTCCAGTGGCGCTTCTTCTCGTCGGCGTCCTGGCGGTTCTGGCTGCGGTTCTGGCTGTCCCGCTGAGCCTGGGCGCAAGCTTCAGCGCGAGACTCTGTGTGACTGAGAGTTTCTCGCTGAGCTTCCATACCTTCACCTCCTGCTTTAGTCTCTCCACTTTGAGAGATATCCGTTCCATGTTGGCATGAACGACTGTCCGAAATTATGAAACATATCCGTTATCTTTGCGAATCGGGAGTCAGAGTAAAGGAAATCGAACCCGGCGGCGTGGCTGATGTTCTGGGAGTAAAAGAAATCGAACTCGGAGGCGTCGCTGATGTTCTGAGGGTTGGAAAACATCGAACTTGGCGGCTTCGCAGAATTTCTGGAAGTATGTGAAATTTGACACGGCGGCTTCGCTGAAGGGGATCTGTGAAATTGAACTTGGCGGCTTGCGAGCTGGCGTCGCTGACGTGAAAGTTTGCGTCGAAGGCGTAGTAGGCGTTTTTGCTGGCGTCGCTGACGCTGGCGTAGGAGTTGGCAGGGTCGGCGTTGTAGGCGTGAGTGCTGGCGTCGCTGACGCTGGCGTGAGAGTTGGCGTCGAAGTAGGCGTGGGTGTTGGCGTCGCTGACTCTGGCGTAAGAGTTGGCAATGTAGGCGTTGCTGCTGGCGTCGCTGACGCCGGCGCGTGTTCTGCGCAGCAGCTGGGCGACGCTGATCACCAGGAAGACGCTGGTGTTCGATTCCAATATGTATCGACGTGTCGCGGGCGCCGTCGTTGTCATGTACGGCCCCGCGGGCCGGGATAGCGAACCACGATCTGCGACCACTGTGATATGGAAGATCGCGGATCTATCGTATCTAACGCGCTCGCAGAGCGGACTCGTAGTTCAATCGGCCAAGGGCCCTGGAAAATAATTAGAGTCAAAGGAGCGGCGGCTGAGAGCAGGTGAGGAGAGCATCGAGCCTTTTGGAATCACACTTATAAGGCGGTTGTTTCTTGGAAAGCGCCGGCCCCACGCCTACAGACGAGGCCCGCGCCTTCTAAGAAGCAGTGGTGCTCCCGAGGTTTAGTGAAAACGGCCTCGGGCCCAAACCTGGTGGACGCAAGCCTGGAAAATGACGGCCGCGGCGCCCTCTCGAGAACCGAAAACGGACAATTCACTCATCGACGTGTCGGGGTGGGGGTTCTGTCCACCCGATCCTGGCCCGCCTCCGGACGAGCACGGGCCCGGAGGCCTTCGCGGCCACGGGCCGACGCTCACGGCCGCTTCCGCTGGCGGCCCCCGCCGAGGCCCCCGAGCGCGGAGCGCGACAGGAGGCCGCCGGCCACGCCCCAGAGGGGCAGCGCCAGGAGCGCCAGCCGGCGGTCAGCCCTCAGGGCCAGGCCGCTCCTCGGGAGTGGGGGGGTCGGGCCCCTGACTCGCCGAGCTGTTCCCTGTCCCTGAGATGGGCAAGCCGGACGCGAGAATAATTTCGGGGAGGCGCCCCCAGAAGCGGAGGGAATCCTTGGGATCGGCATCGAGGCACGGTGACGCCAACCATACGGATAGGGTTAGGTCGGGCATGTCCCCCTACAGGCAAATTCTAAATGAAAGAATGCATAACATAAGAATACAAACAAGAACATGAAAATCGTCACCATATTACTTTTTGGCTATTTGTCCCCAGTCAGTGCTTGCACTGAAGGGGTCCTAGCGGAAAATGTAAATTTGGCGAGAATTCCCGCTGGTTTTCCCAGTTCCGGGTTCCCGGGTTCCTGGTGATTGGTTCCGGGCCGATTTCGGTGGGTTATGGGTTCCCGTGCTCCTGGGGTCCTGGTCGTTCTCGTCGGCGAAGACCATCCACTGATTGGGGTCTTCCTCTGGTGTGATTGAATATTCCTCCTGTGCAGGGACAGGCCCGACTTGAGGATAGGGAAATGCTTCAATCTGGTAGGAGTCCTCCTCCTGGGGAGCTGTCACGGGTCTCCGCATGTTCTCGCCGGTTCCTGGAAGCCTCCTTCCCTCGGGGTGTTTTCCAGCAGCTGCGCCTCGCCGAGAGCGGCTCCTGGTCGAAGGACTCGTAGGTAGGCGTCCTGCCAGGTTCGTTCCCTATGTGGAGATCCGGTCAGGCTGGCTCCCTGGCCCCACCTTCTCGCCATCGCTCGGACGCCCATTCCCCGTGCATTGTTCGGCACCGCGCGTGAAACTTCCGCAAAACAACCTCGAATGCTTCTGGAGGATCCTTGCCGAAAAAAAAATGCACTCGCCCGAGCGATGCCAAGCCTTGGGCGCCCCCCCCCCCTGGGGAGAAGCGGCAGAGGCATGCGAAAAGTAATTCCCTTTTGCCTTTGCCGCCACCCCGCCTTTTCCACTAGCGACCGACGGCGGCGACGGCGGACGACGACAAACTGCAGATGTTCCATGGGGGGGGACGGCGGGGGGGCTGCGCATGCCCGCTGTGCTCGTCGACGACGGCGACGGCAACGACGACGAGGACCACGACGACGACGACGACGACGCCGACGACAACGCGACGACGACGGCGACAACGACGCTCTGCGGATACCCCACGGGGGGACGGGGGGTGCCGCGTAGGCCCGCTGTAGTCGTCGACGACGACGACGACGAGGATGGCGACGACGACGACGGCACGATGACGATGACAATGCGACGACGGCGACGACGACGAAGCACTGCGGATGCCCCATGGACATGGGGGGGGCTGAATAGGCACGCCCCAGTCGACGACTGTGAACACACACGCACACACCACGACGACGACGACCACACCGGCGACTGCGGCGACGACGACGACGACGGCGACGGCGACGATGACGACTGTGGTGCGTCAGAAGTCAGCCTGGGAGGGGGGAGCGCTTCGCCTCGGATGTGTACGATCCCCATAACACCTCATAAACAAAAAACAATCGTTTGAAGAGCGCCGTGTAAAAAGGACACAAGATCCCCTCGGCGGCGCCCGCGACGACCCCCTGGCGCGCGTGATCTTCAACATTGTTTTCGCCCAGTCCTGGGGGGAGGGGGGAACCATTTGTTAATCGCAAGCCCACACTAGGAGTTCCAACACATTCATAATGTGTTTGATGCACCAAACCAAGCCACCCAGATGGACTGCCCCTGCAGCAAAGACGGAGAGGCCTGGAATAGGCTACAATCATGGCGTTACCAAAAGGCACGGTGGATTAAGATCGACATGGCGTTCCTGGCCACGGCGGGCCTCGGCCGCGAATCGGTTCCCCGACCTAGAGCTATGGAACGGCCCCAACAAACATCGAGCCCCTCTTGAGCCCATGCTGGTCCTCATGGCAGCGCCTTGGCTGCACTGCAGATGCGGGGACCTAAATGAGGCTGCGTCTTCATTGTGTAGCTCGGGCAGCGGGTTCTTTCATTCTCGGTGACTCCAGAGCGCCAACACGCCGCTCCAAGCGACGGGCACGCCGACGGCCAACAACCCGCCTCCTTCGGCCTGCGACGGCCGCGCCAGGATCAAACGCGCAGCCTCTGGCGCCGCCAGTCTCGGCGCCGCCGCCTCCGTCGCTGCCGCCCGAGGCGGCGTCGCCCGCCTCGACCACTATAACGATTGCGACGACGACGACGACGACAGCGGCGGCGGCGGCGGCGGCGGCGGCTGCGGCGGCGGCTGCTGTTGCCAAGAAACGGGCGGCGACGGCGGCGATGACGGCGACACGATCGGCGGCATCAACGGCGGCAACGATGACGGTGACGACAGCCACGGCGGCGGCAAGAGTGACCTCGAGGCCAAGAACCAGACGAGCAACGCGTCGCGCTGGAGTTGCCGGTCCCTAAGCCCAGCGACCATGCAGGCGACCCGCCGGCGGTCGCGCGCCCGCGACTCCTCGAAGGCCCGTTCCAATCGGGCACTGTCCGCCTGCACCGAGAGTCTGTGCTGCAGCAGCGCAGTCCGCACCTCCGCCGCCGCCGCGACCTTCGAGCCGTGCGGGAAGGCCAGAAACTCTGCACCAGAACCGATCCTAACCTCAACTGTGACCAGACGCTGGCAGCACGTGCATGCTTGCACGCACACCTGTCTACAACAAATCCTGGGACGATGTGATGATCGCAATCGTGCGCTGCCCGGCGTAACAACCGTGCTGTACCGAGAACAAGCTTGTCATTAAAATCGCTGCCCAGGCCCTGACCTCCTCCGACGCCGTATGTTTGTTGCTACGCGCGGGTGCCCAGACTTCTCGAATCTACCCGGGGGGCCGGTTTGTGGCCGCGGGCTGCTTTCTCGAAGAGACTCCACGCTGCCTTGAAATCGCCCCCCCCCCCCCCGGCCGAGTCCGAAATTCAGTGAAAGCGCCTGCCGTTATTTTGCCCTCGAGGCACCTGGGTCTCTCCTCCTCCTCCTCCTCCTCCTCCTCCTCCTCCTCCTCTTCCCAATCGTCCTCCTCCTCCTCCTCCTCCTCCTCCTCATCCTCCTCCTCCTCATCTCTGACCTCCCCCGTTCCTCCGCCTTTCTCACCTGCCCCATCATCCCCCCAAACTTATCCGACACCGCGGCACTGCACGTATTGAGTTCGTTCTCTCCCAGGGGCCGACAGCCCCAGCTTCCGGGCGCTGTCGGGCGCTCTCCAGGCGAGGTTGCGTGGCTGTTTTCTCGAAGAGGCTAGACAGCTCAAAGACGGCCCAAGGGCGTCATCCGACGTTCCTAAGAAGGCCCAAGAGGGTCCCAAGACGACCCAAGAGCGCTCCAAGACTCCCAAGAGGTGGCCTCAAGGCAGCCCGAGAGGCCCGGAGGACGCCACAAGAGGGCCCTAAGAGGCCCTCAAAAGAGGGCCCCACGAGGCAGACATCAGTGGTTTCCCATATGTTTTGAAGCGGAATGTTGCGGTCTCGCCTTTTCGCCAAGGCCGCAAGGGCGTCTGACGCTCCAAGGGGGCCCCAGAGGACCCCTAGAGGGAAACATGAACTTACATGTCAAGCTTACCGCCCGAGACCAGCAGCACGCCCCATAGAGGCCTCAAAGAAGCACAAGGAGAAATGTGGCCCCACAAGGCCACCGAGACCCGAGAGGCCGCAAGACACACCAACGCTGATTCCAATGGGCTCCCGAGAGGCCTTCCAAGAGATTTCAACAGACATCCACGAGGCCTGTGACCTACAACCCAGACGCGGTGGCGGGATGCGCCGAAAGCAACGAAATGGATGCGCCGCCCCCTGAAGCCTGCAAGAGGAGTTGTTGGCATGCTGGACGATAGCATTTTGAACCCTTTAATCCGAAAATGACCTCTGGCCCATCCCGCTGGCCTACCAAAACTACATAGCCCCCGCAGTCGCGGATAAAAACGAGGGGTCGGCGGCAACCTGAGAGGCTCTGAAAAAGCCCACCGCAGGCGTCGATTTTACACATTGCACAGCGAGCCCGCCGCAGGCGCCGAATCTTCGTCAAAGCAAAGTGGGTGGGTGGCGGGTGAGTCGCGGGAAGGTCGCGGGGTGGGTCGCGGGAGGGTGGCGCGTGGGTCGCGGGCGGGTCGCGAGCCAGCAGGGCGACAACAACACATAGGATCCGCACCGTGGAATCCCACTTCAGCCACGCACGCAGAGAGGGTGTAAGACCGTTCGGCCCCCTCACTCCGATACCTCCCATCGGAGCTCCCTCCTAAGATGGTCCTAAGATGCCTTCGGGATGCTTCGAAGAAGGACCATGGTGGCCTCCAAGATGGCCAAGATGGCCCAAGAGGGGCCAATAGTAAACCAAAACGGCCCAAACTGGCCTGAAAGGCCTCCCTGAACCCCTCTTAGAGGGCAGGGCCTATAGGAGCCCTTTTTGGCCTAATTGGGCTCTCCGAGAGGCTCCACGAGACGGGAGCCCAAAAAGGCCAACATCATTCAATGCGCTTCGATATTTCAAGGATGTTCGCAGCCTCACGGTGTCGGGCTTTTGACAGCCGAAGACGGCCCCAAAGGCCACCAAGATGGCTCCACGACGGCCCATGAAGCGCGCAAAATAATTTCAAGACCGCTCAAATTACCCCACAACGGTCCAAGAGGCCCCCACGACGGCCCCAAGAGGGTGCCAAGACGGCCCAAGATACCTCCAAGATGGCCTGACGCGCGCAAGGAAGGCCAACCGATCCTCCCAAGAAAGCCACCGAAAGCGTCAGACGGGCCCAGGAAGCCTTGGGACGGCCCGAGAGGTCTTCTCAAAGGTCCCCAAAAGCCCCCCAAGAGGCCACTCAGTCCCGCAATCAGCTTCTAGGAAGCCCCCAGGGGGCCGTAAGGGAGTCCTAACTGCCACCCTCCTGGTTCCCATTTTGAAAAGATCTCTCCTTCTCCTCTTCCCCCCTCTGTCTCTCTCTCTCTCTGTCTCTTTCTCTCTCTCTCTCTTTCTCTGTCTCTCTATCTCTCTCTTTCTCTCTCTCTCTCTCTCTTTCTCTTCCCACAAATTCCCCCCAGGGTGGTTTCCGCAATGGTTGGAGGAACACATAGCGCAAATAGCTTGGCCAGACTAAGGACTAAGGCCAGGTGTTTAGCCATATAGGCGTTTCAAAAGGCAGGGGGCGGCGATGTCTTCGATACAAGAGGCCAACGTGGCCTCAAGAGCACCCTCGCCAAGCTCAGAGGGAACCATGACTCTAGAATTGTGCGAAAAGCTGGGGGCACCGGTCGGCATCAATCATGGCAACCCCTGTCAAACTCGACCCCTGGATATATCTCCCTCTCCTCCGCAGCGTCACAAGCGGGCCGCACCAAAGCAACATACACACGTGCTTCTTACGAATGCGCTCGAGACCGAGCCGTGTTCTCCGAGGTGGGGGGCGACGGAGCGCGAGAAAATTGTCAAACTGTCGAGCGATTGCCGTGGAACGGACTGGGCATGGGACGAGAACGATGGCATGGTACGATACATTCCAAGAGTTCTGGAGTATCTGGCTGCCCTCGCTTCTGCAGCTCGCGTGGCAAAGCAAGAAACTCGGAAGATCCAGGGGTTCTGGGAACGTTTGGCCCTCTGATGGCAGCGCGCCGAGCGCGGCTGGTGAGACAACGGCTGCGTGGAGAAGCTCCTCTGGTCGAGATGCCGGGAGGTGAGCAGGGAGACGAGACGACTACGACGGAGCAGCCGAAACCGAGGAGGGCGGCGAGAGTGACGAAGACTACCGACGGCGCACGACGAGGGCGGAAAGAGCAGGAAACAAAGACCAGACAAACGACAGCCCGCGCATGGCACCAGGCGGACAGGAAAGCGGGCCGAGGGCAACGCCTCCAGTCCGGGCACCGTCCGGGAAAAGCGGCGCACCGCACGTGCGGCGAAGTTCGCCGACACGACCACGACGGAGCAACGAAGAGGAAACCGAAGACGACGACGGCGGCGACGCGGGGCCAAGAGCGACGAGCGATGACGGCGACGCGTGCAGAACACGAGCGACGACGGGCGGCGTGGGGAAGCGAGAGCGCCGAGACCTGAAGGCACATGCCTACAAGTCGCGACCAATCAGCCTGTCGAGGAAGAAGACGAGGACGGACAACAACAGAAACAGAAGAGTAGCGGCCCAAGGCCGCGCGCTCCAAACGTTACGCAAAGGAACTCGTGTCTCAGGCAGTCGGCCGATGGCCACCGTGCGCTGCGCAACGCGGTCCTGCTCAAAGGAGCGCGCGAAACTCAAAGGGCAAGCGCACGCAATCCGCAAGGTAAGCCGCGGGTTATGTGGGACAAGTATGTCAGAAAATGCGGGTGTCGACGGCAAATCCCTTTTTCCCCTTCGGGGGAGGGTTCACCTCTCCCCCTGCCCCCCCCCCCTCCACCCCACCCCGGGTCTGGACGGTGGGGGCGCAGGTCGTTAGAGCGTCAAAGATAGCCCCAGATAAAAGGCACACACGATGAATTGTTTCTTAGATGCTTGCCCCTTTTTGGCCTCCTGGTGGGGGGCAGCGCTCATTGAGGACCCCCCCTTCTTCGATCGTTAGCCTCTGGGATCTGGGTTCAGCCTAAGGCCGTGCGCGGCCAGCCGGGGAAAGATGGTTAAAAGTTGGTAGGCGCAAGGCCATGCATCACGTTACATTGATGACTGTGCGAGACAGCAATTCAATGCAGAATTTCAGCGCCAGCGCCTCAGCGTCACACGTCGATCGATAACTTCCAACATTGCCCCAAGACGGCCCGAAAAGTTCTCAAGAGAGCCCCGAGAGAGCCCCACGAGGGCCCCCAAGACAAGAGGCCTCAAGCGGGGCCCAAGAGGGCCCAACATGCCCCCAAGCGGCCCACAAGATGGCCCAAGAGGCGGCACCCAAAACGCTCCAAGAGCCCCACCCTAGGAGTGGACGAGACCCCCGCTGCGTCCGAAGAGGCCTCTAAGAAGCACCCGACGAGACCCCAAGAGACCGAGGAAGGCGTTCGCGGAGTCCCGTGGCCCACGCGTGCCTTCCGACATCTCCCGCTCCCCCGTTCGGGGCAGTTTCGTTGAACATCGTACCTTAATGCGCTGGTGGTGATACGCGGAACGTTCAGCACAAGGACGAAAAGGATGACGACGAGAAGAACGAGCAAGGGGAGGAGGACGACAAGATCGACGAGGATTAGTAGTAGGACGGCAGCGTGGGAGACGAGGACAGCGTGGATGAGAAAGGGGATAGCGGGGATGGCGATGCGCCGCGCCAAATTCGGCACACCCCATACACGCTTCGTGGCCGCATAAGGAGTTTCTCCGAAGGCCCGTGGGAGGGTCTGCATGCCACCACCACGCCCACTTCGGCACACGCCTCACGTTTCAGGGACCCTTAGGCAGCTCCATCGAAGGCCGCACTTCCAATTGCACATGGTTAGGCCCATTACCAGGCTCATATTGCTATGTCTGGGACCTTGCTGCATGCCTCGAAGTCGATCAAATTTTGAACCTTCGGCGTGCGCGCGGGGTCCACCTCGCGGCCCGGGGACTCCTCGTCGCGGTCGTACAGCCCGGACAAGGGCAGCTCCTCCTCGCTGTCCGAGAAGATGGGGTAGGCCTGGCGGGCACCTCGGGGATGGAGGGAGGACGCTTGTGGTCGTGGAGCGCAGCACGGCGGCGAGCCGAGCGGAATGCAGCGGGGGCGGGCCTTGTCAAAGGGTTCGAAAGGCCTCGGGCCTTCTAGAACATTGCCCAAGCATCACCCAAAGAAAGAGACGGCTCCTCACAAGGCCAGAGGGCTTCTGGAAAGCACCGCCGCCTGCTGTGTGTTTGTGTGTGTGAGGCGGAGGAGGAGGAGGAGGAGGAGGAGGAGGAGGAGGAGGAGAACGAAGAGGAGGAGGAGGAGGAAGAGGAGGCCTGCCCCCTCTCACATGCCCCTGGGCGCGCCGCCGAACCGCACTCACGCCCACGGCCTCGCGCTCTGGCCTCCTCGGCCACGACCCCGTGGCTGCAGGGCGACTCTGCGCAGATGTCCCGCACAAAACGTGCCCGTGCGATCGCACGCCCGCAGGTCCGCGGGATCGCGCCTCGGCACCCAGACCACGAGGGCGTGGGCACAGATGTGTCCTCCGCTCGTGAGAGCAGAGACCTCCGCACAACTTTGCGACCAGCTCTGCGTTTGAAGCGCACGGCCGGCGGGATGAGTGAGGATGGGACACCGCCATCCGTCCCACCCTTTGCCGTACTCGGAAAATCCGAACATCTTGTCTCGCAACTTTCGCCTTCTGGGGGCCAATGCCAGGCCGGAGCACCGTCAACCCACACTGTAAAACAACATGTTGGACGATGATCCAGTCCCCAGGAAGGTGCCGAAGATTCTGGGGCCCACGTCTGAAGGTGGACGGGCGGGGGAAGGGTTGGGACGAGAATCCAGAGTTCGCACATTTCCCGGAATGAAGTCCGATCGAGAACTTATGCCCACATGTCGCGGATCAGAACGCCTCTGCGACGACGGCCGCCGATGACATTCGAAGATCTTGGCGACGCGCACAAGGTGGTAGTTAGAGGGAGGGGGGAGGGCTTCTTAGGAAGAAACTCATCTTAGAAGGCGGCGGCCCGTTTATCTGCGGATAGGACCCGCGAAAAAGTAGGGGTGATTCTAAAAAGCCTTCCCGCCTCTCCCCACCCCCGTTTGCGCGTGGCTGAAGGTCGCCGGCGGGTGCCGCAGATGAGCGGCGATGGTCGCCCGCCGAGGGCCGCCGAGGGCCGCCGATGGGCCGCCGATTGGACGCCGAGGGCCGCCTGCGGGCTCCGAAGGAGCGCGTGGCGGAACCCAGCAGCCTGCGCCGCCATTGCCCCTGCGGATGGCCCGCGAAGGGGCGGCCGCGGCCATCGCGAGGCGGCGCGCCGCGGACCCTCCGCCCCGCCCAGACAGGCCCCGCGCCGCCGGGCGCAGAGAACCTCTCGGCCGGGGCGGCTGGGCCAAAATGGCCCCTGCGGCAAGGCGCGGCGGCAGCCGTCGGCGCCTCCGTCGGCGCGGTCGGCACCGTCGTCGGCGGCGGCGTCGACCGCCGGCGACGTGCTGCCCTCGTCGCCGGCGTTGGCGGCGTTGCGGTTGTTTTCGTCGCCGTCGGCGTCGCCGCCGCCGGCGTCGTCGCCAGCGTCGCCGTCATCATCGGCGCCGCCATCTTTGTTTTCGCTGCCTTCGGAATCAGCGCCATCGTCGTCGTCATTGTCGGCGTCGTCGCTGCCCGCGCTGGTGCCGTCGGCGGCACATTAGGCGTTGTCGGCGCCAGCAGCGTCGACGGCGTCGTCGAATGGGTGTGGTGTCCACTCGATGCTACAAACCTTACTCAATTGCTCTGTTCCTCCCGGGTCTGCTCTGCCCGTCTGTACTCGACTTGACTGTACTCGGCTCCTCAGGCTGCCCGAACTTCGCGGACCAATTGAACCCCCCCTCCTCCTCATCCACCTCCTCTTCCTCCTCCGATTCATCCTGCGTGCTCCCCCTGTTGGAAAATGGCGGCATCCCAAGCCCTCTGATCCACTGCGTGCTCCCCCACATCCCTGATCAAGGTACCTCCCCTCGGCTTGTTCATGGATGGGCTGGTGGGGGGACCTGTTGATCGCGACCGCGGCGAGAAGTCGGGCGGCGTCAGGGGGCGGCGCAGACTAGGAGGAGTCGGCTTGCGGGGGGGGTCGGTCGCGCGGGAGGCGGGCGGAAGCGTCGCCGGCGCCCCGCGCCCCCGGGGGGCTCCATGTAAGATGTCCCAGGCTGCGCCAAGCGCGCGCACGCGTTACTTGCCCGCGCGCTCGCATTCGCGCAAGCGCATCCTAAGAAACTATGATTTGGATCGGAACCGGGCGACAACGGGCATGGGGCGCCTGTCAAGGCTGCTTCTGGGAGCGATTGCTGCTGGCTCGACGCGCGCGATATGCATGTAACGACTTTTGGAGGACGGGCGCTGCGCCGCCCAATCCAACGCGGGAGTGGCGCGGTCCGGGGCGCGCGGCCGTCGCGGCACACGGCGGTCGACGTGACCGCGTGGGGCGCGCGATCGGCCGCGCGGCATGCGCGGGCCATTCGGCCGACGCTGCCGGGTCGCCCTCAAACAGCCCGCCAGGAATACGCCAATGCGCAATGCGCCGGCGCGCCGCCAGGATATCGCCCTGAAAACAACCTGTTCACTCTGAACGCCGACTGCGCGCCTCGCTGAACCAGCGAAGTCGCGCGGCGCGCCCGCGCCGCGGACCCGCCGCAATGAACTCGCGGGAAAAAGGCCTCTCTCCATGGGTTCTGGCACCGATTCTGGCCTACTTCCCGTTCTGGCCGATTCTGGTTCCATCGCCGATTCCTCCTTTGATTCCGTATTGATTCCGTGCTGATTCTTTTGATTCCGCTAGAATCAGGGGTCGCAGTTGTGCCGATACTATTTTGATTCTGTACTGATTCCGTACTGATTCCTTTGATTCCCTTGTGCCCCGGGGACCGTCGGGCCGCGGCCCGAGCTCCCGCCTCGGCGGCATGGTTTTTCCAAGAGCGCGGAAGAGTTTTGAGGGGGAGGGGGCGGGGGGGGAGGCGAGGCGATTTTTGGGGCGCATCGGGCGGCCGAGCCGCAGATTTCCGGGCCCAGTGCGCGCGCCCAACATGGCAGGCGCGGGCGCGCGCGCGAGTTCTCGACCGTCGGCGCATCTGTAAGTTCATACCCCGCCCCGCGCGCGGGAATGGAAACTTGCGTTGCGGTTTCCCATTGAACGCGCGGCCGTCGCCCCCCATGCTGCTCAGCGCGCAAAGCGCGCGAGCAGCATGGGGGGCTTTGCGTTCTCGCATGAGAAGTGCGCGGAACCGAACCGAACGGTCGGCGGCGCCCGCTCCTGCGCCGCGCGCGAGGCCATCGCGTCAGCGCAGGAGGCTACAAGGGCCTGGGCCGTCGCCCTGGGGCGCGGGCACAGCGCGAGGCCCGCGCGGGTCTCTCGCGCCAAACATGCGCAACAAAGTCGGCCCGCCCGCCGGCTGGCGCTCGCGGGCGACGCGACGCCGGCGCCGACTGCGAGGCCGACTGGGCCCGGAGGGTTCCTGAGTGCCCCGGGAAGGGGCAGCGGGCCGCGATGGAATCGGCGCGGTCGCTGGCGCCCCCCCCGCGCCCGCCCCCCCCCCTGCAAGCCGACTCCTCCTAGCGCAGACTCGCAGCGGCCTGAAGTAGCGCAAAGGGGGGGGACAACGAAAGAGGAAAGACCAAACGGGAGGGGGGCAAACAGGGGGCGAGCCTCGCTGCCACTCGCAAGACGGCGCACACCAGGAAGTCCTTCCGGGCGAAATGCAACACCAGAATGGTGGAATTCGAAACCAACTCCACCACCGCGTCGAAGACCGTCAGCAAGACGAGCAGCGAGTCCAAGCCCGTCCGCCGAACTGCGGAACGTAAGACAGCGAGGTCAATGCTACGAGGGGGATTCCAATCATGCAGGCGCTCAATGGAACAACTCCGGACCGCCAGAAACCAGATAGGTGCCGCATGTGCCATCAGGCGGGGACTGGCAGCCCGCGCCGCCAAGGCGGCGAAAAGGTTTAGCATGAGGATCGACGGAGGGGCAGGCGCGGAGGGCGAGGGCCAGGAGTCCGTCGACCCCGCGCGATGAGGCGCAGAGTGAACAGACCGCGCAGGCCGCCCGGGAGGAGGCGACGCGGGGCGCAGGAGAATTGCGAAGGCCCCCGTGCAGGGCGCTGGGGAGGGTCAGCTGAGGCAGTGAGCCTGGATGCCGCGGGCCCTGGGCCAACCGAGGGAATGGCGAAAGAGCCCCGAGCGACCCCCGCAGGGCGGGCGCAGGGGGGTGGCCCGGCACCGAGGGGCGGGGGGCCACAATGGGGCCCAATGGCGGAGACGCACTAAAAGCCCGGACAGACACCGCCGCGGAGGGGCCGCGGGGGAGGCAGGCGTCGAGGGCCGCCCCGGCAGAGAAACGCCGGGGAGAGCCCCATAGAGCGGAGGCCGGCAGACCGGCACCCCGGGCCGAAGGGGGTTCCCTGCGAGCACCTCGCACGCGGGGCGTGGGGGGCCAGGGCGGGGGGGCAAAAGAGGGCAGGCGGGGGCCCAGGAGGCCCGCGACACCCATGCGGCAACGGGGAGACCCGAGCGGCGCAAGTGCGACGACCGCCGGGGGGGCCGCGAGGAGCGGACGCGGCGGTGAGACACCCCGGGCGCCCCAGATCGGAGAAATCGAGATGCGCGGGGGAGCGCCCGGGAGGCCGCGGGCGACGCCGGGGCGAGGGCGAAGGGGCGGGCCTGCCGTCAGTGGGTGGAGGGTCACCAGCAATCCAGGGCAAGGGCGCCCCGGGAGGCCTGGCGCAGGCCAACCGCCCCAGCGGGGCACGCGCCAGGCGGCATTGGGCACGAGGCCAGAGCGGCCGCGAGGGATGCCGCGAGTTGCGCGGGCGGGGGGCCAGGCGAGCGAGGGGCCGCGGGCGAGAGGGGGCGCCCGTGGCGAGAGCGGCGCTGAGACACGCAGGAGGCGACTAACGGCGGCAAGTTGGATGAAGCACGAGGAACGCGAGTTGGAAGCGACTAATGAGCGGCCGCAAGTCTGGAACAATGGAAGCGCAGCGACTAACGGCCGCGCGATGGGTGGAGGACGGAAGCCGACGGGGAACCGGCGGGGTGGAAACCCCGCGGAAAGGGCAGCCAGAGGGCCCGCCCTGTGCCGAGGGGGCCCCCCTGCGGCCTCGCGCGCGGGCCCGGCAGGCCAGGGCGGGCGGCGGCAGAGGGCAGCAGGGGGCCCGAGGGAGGGGCCCGCGACCATCATGCGGCAAAGGAGAAGCCCGAGTGGCGCCCGGCGCGGGGGGCCGCCGGGCGGGAGCCGCGGGGGGCAGGCAGGCGCCGCGGAGACGCGCTGGGCGCCGTGGCGGTCTCGGGGGAGCGCCGAAGAAGCCCCTTGCGACCGCCCGAGGCGCGGGCGGGGGGGGCGGCCTGGCGACAGGGGGCGGGGGGCCAAAAGATGCCCAGAGACACGGGCGCCCTGGGCGGCTGGGCACGGGCCGACAGCCCTAGCTGGGCACGCGCCAACGGCGTCGGCACGAGGCCAGGGCGGCCGCCGGGGGGGCCGCAAGCGAGGCGGGCGCGGAGCCAGAGGGGCGGAAAGGAAGGCGCCCGAGCGTGGGCTTCGCGGGCGCAGGGAGCGGCAAGAAGCCGGCGCTTGCGGGGGAACGCTGGAGGGAGATGGCGAGGCGACTGGCGGTCGCAAGTGGGGCGAGCTGGCGAGGAATCGCAAAATGAAGGCGACTGACGTTATATGGGAGAAAATCCGCTACGCTCTGTAAAGCCATGAACTCGCCGAGCATGCGCCGAAGATGCTAGGTGGCATGTTTATGATGTCAATCCGCATACTCAAACATATTTCACCATACAATCAGGATTATGAGAATTTCCCGCGCGACAGGCGTCGGCCCGCGCGCCGATAGCACGCGCGCCAGACAATCGCATATTGCATGGGCTCGGGGGGCGCGGCCACGCGCAGCGATGAAGACGCAGGCGCCACGGGGGCTTCGAAACCAAACCGAGGGACAAACGGCAGCTACGTCAACGACGCAAGCAAGTTGGGCGCGTTGGAGCCCGCGAATAACCCCCACGGCCTGGCCGTTGTGGGAGGCGGGGGGCCCGCGCTGACGCCAGGGCGACGACGGCGGTTGTCTTCCCCGCGCCGGGGGGGGGCGTGAACCGCGGCGAGGAAGCGCCTAGTACTCGCGTGGGGAACCTGCTTCGAGGATTCGTCGAGGCCGCGCGCAGCGGCGGCGCGGTCGAGCAGCTGGGTGACAGCGGCGCGCCTGGTGCGCCGGAAGACTTGACCGTTGTTTTTGTCTGTATCGTCAGCATCAAAAGCTGGGCATCCAGCGGCGCCGGGGACAGCGGCGTCTATGGCGTCGGGGTCGACGATGGGCGCGTCGAGGGTGGGGGCGGCACGACGCCGAAAGGCGGTGCCGCTGGCGTGGCCCGAGTGCACCTTGTTTACCGCCTGCTTGTCCGTGACCTCGGCGCCCCTGAAATCCAACATGCAAGTGGGGACAGGGGCGGGAGCTCAAAATGGGTCGTTGGGGTCGTGGCTCCGCATGTAGATCTCCGCGAGGGCAGAGTGCAATCTCCACTGCTGGATATCGGAAGGGGTCCTGCCAACCCTGTAGCAGGCGCTGGAGGGCTTGCCCAGAGGTGGGTCCTCCTTGCGATCTGGGTGGAATGGGCCGTGTTTGCTATCGCTGTACTGCGCGACGCATGAGTTGGATGGGTACTCGGTGCCCTGGGGGAGGAGTAGCCGAGAGCACTCGTGAGGGGAGAGGGGCTGGCCAAGTTCCTGCAGGCCGGGCCAGGCCATGTCCATCTCGGCGAGCTCGTCGGAGGAGGGGCCGTTCATGGAGATCTACGCCCACTCCGCGCAGTGACCGTCTGACTTCTTGTGCCGGATCCGATAGGCGAGGGGCCAGTCGAAGAGATTGTCCGTCCGTCCATGTTTGGGTTGCGTCTTCCCCTGGACCTTGAATTTGTCGAGTTCGCCCGACCAAGCGAAGGTGCTGTTCGACTTCGGTGATGGACGCGTCCACGGCCACTGATTGCTTGCGCCTGAGCTCGCCACGAATGCGGTCGGAGCGGTCGTCGCAGGGTTCTGGGGAAGCTCTGCTCTCAATCCACTGGAGGCGCAGCAGGTGAGCGCCTCGGCCCTGCAGGGCGGAGGGCCATTCCGCGGGTAAGTCGACGGCTCCCGGTATGTAGCAGGGATGGACCATGGCGGGCATTTTCGCTGTAGCACTGGAGGTGGGGAGCTCGAAGAGTCGCTGTATGTCACGAGCTGCAACAAACTGGAGGGAACGGTGGCCTGCTTCGCTTGAGACACCGACCACGTCTGGGGCCTGGGGCTGTGCGAGGGGCGACGGCGGGCGGGCGCCGCGCCGCCGGGTGGTGAGGTGACAAGCCCTGCAATGGTATCACCCGGGGCTGGGGGGGAAGCCCCTGCCGGTTGGAGAGCAGGAAGCGTAGAGAGCGGCTGCTGCATGGGGGTAGCGAGCAAGCGGTGGGTGTGGGGGAGAACGTCAGCCATGGCTCGGACGTCCTCCAGCGGCTCAAAATCGCTGTCGTTTGGAACGTGGGGCTCGAACTTGGGGCCCGGGTCGACGCGGAATCGACCACGGCGCCGGGGAAGCAACTGAAGTCCCAGGGCGTCATCGGCAGCGGGTCAACCAGTAGGGATGTTTGCCCAGTCGTCAGGGAAGCGAACGCCCCCGAGCTACCGAATCCCGCCCACTGTCGCGACCTCTGGGAGCTTCCAGCCAGGGCAGCGCAGCCGCTCGACGTGCTGTTTCCGAATGTTGTCGTAGTCCTTGCCCTGCAAGCGGGTCCAGAGATTGCCTCCGCTGGTGTAGGCCTTGGGGTCGGGCCATCCCTCTTTCCAATGGCGGTCAAGGTCGTCGAGGTGCTCGGGTTGACGACGTGGTCCTTGTCGTGGACCTCCCGCTGACAGGGCTCGCAATAGAAGCGCCAATGGCTGTTGAAATAAACCCACACCGCAGCCACGGGCAAAAGGCGAGCCTGAATTTGGTAAGCGTTGGTGGAGTCCGGGGCCCAGGGCGGCCCGGGGTCGCAGGCGCAGCAGCTTGGCCAACGGGCGAGCGGCCCTTGATGGTTCTTGCCCGTGACGAGGGGGGCCGGAGCGTCAGGCAGCAAGCGCAGCGCGGGGGGGGGACCAATGGCGGCGCCGCGGCCGCGGGCCCGGGGGTCCGTGGCAGCGGCGTCGGGCGCCCCCTCGAGCGGCGGGGTTTCCGCCGAATGGCTTGAGCCAGAATGGCCTCGGACTGGTGGGGGCATGTTTTAAGTCAGCGGCCGCAGGCGAGCGCGCCAGCGGCGAGTCCAGTAGAAGCGGGGCACGCAACCACGAATTAGCCGGAAACGACGGGGCGCAGCCACAACTAAAGCGGCGGACAGAGCCTCACGCAGCACCTCGGCGACGAACCGGCGAGTGAAAGGGGTCTGGCGGGGGCACGCGAAGCGTCTTGAATATTTGCCCTGGCCGAAGAGCGCCCCCCCCAATACAGGGTAATCTCCCCATGCGCACGATGCGTGGACTCGTGGCGGCCCACTGCGTCGCTGGGTGGGGCATCGCCACCAAGGAGAAACAGGCCAGGTGAGTTGCTCGGGCTGGTTGCCTTGCCAGAAGACCCCCTTAGACGGGGCCAACTGGGTCATCCAGAAGGTGGGTCGTCGAGAGGGTCCCCAGCCCCCCCAAGACCTGCCCTCCTGCCCCCCCCGCCCCGCCGCCCTTCCCCCCGCTCGCCGCCCGCGCCCCCCTGTCCGCGCAGGGCTGTTCGGGGGGGCGCGAACGCCGTTCCGAACGCTGTTCCGCGGAGGCGCAATGGAGGCACCAAGTGGGTTATCGACCCGGCTCGTGGACGGAAGCGCCAAGTGGGTCACCCACCCGGCCCATGGAACACCTCGGCCCTCTCCGCCCCTGGCCCCAAGTGGGTCGCCCATCCGGCCCATGCGCCCCCCCCGCCCCTGCCACGCCCGCCCGCCGCCCCGAGACACCAAGTGAGTCATCCATCCGGCTCGTGGAACCCCGTTCGCGAACGCTGTTCCGCGGAGGCGCAATGGAGGCACCAAGTGGGTTATCGACCCGGCTCATGGACGGAGGCGCCAGGTGGGTCATCCACCCCGCTCATGGAACCCCTGCCCGCGAAACCCCTGGAAGAGGCCCCTGGCCGCCCCCGCACCGACCTCTAACCATCCTCCTCCCCCCTCCTTGTCGCCCCCATCCCAGGCGCCCCCGTCTGCCCGCCAGCACCCCTGCCCCCATGCCCATCCCCACCGACGCTCTGGTCAAATCGCCCCCGCGTGGCACTATCGGCGGCGCCCAGAAGTGAGCGCCGTCGCGCGGCAGACACACGCAGCATACCATCATTTCTGGGGCCGACCTGCGCGCCGTCCATCGCCGAGGACCACTGCCGCGCCTTCTGGGCCGCGACCCTGGGAGGTAAACAGGGGGGGGAAGGACTGGTGGGAGGCAAGATGGGGGGGAGAGGAGGGGGGGGGAGGGTGGAGGAGGGAGGGGCGGAGGGCCATCGAACCGAAATGGCGACCGAAAAAGCGGAAGGGGAAGGAGGGGGAGGCTGGGACATAGGAAAGTAACATGAAGAGGCGGGTGGACATGATGAAGATAAGGATGAACCTTAGAAGCAGCAACAGCAGAAACCAGGATGACCAGGATAACGATAGCGAGTTGTTGTCAAACTCTGTTGTATATCAAGCCGTACATCGCGCGTCACGCGTGACGGGGGGATACTGGCTACGCCGCTCCGATGCACACATGCGTCGGCAAACTACGCCCCATCCTATGAGAAAAGCATGCGATACCGCATGTTGTCGCGCGTGCTGCCTTGCGGGGTCGCCTTGCTGGCATACTGCAAGGGTACAACTGGCTAACATCGGCCATCCTACCATTCCAGCTCCGACCGGCCCATGTGAAATCCCAAGTGTAATTTCTTGCGCGCGCCACACTCCCATCCACCCGATGAACGACCCACTTGTTCATCCACCCCCTGGATGACCCAGTTGGCCCCTTCCAACCCCCCCAACTGAACTCGCCAGCGAATTCACGGCCAACGGTGTTGTTCGGCCTGGTCTCATGGCGGAAGAACCCCCCAAGAAGGGTCTGCATCGCCCCATGGCCTGCCATCCACTTCTGGGTCATGTATCCTTCACCATATCCGCCCTCCACGCTTGTTCACTGAACTCGGGAGAATGTCGAACAAGAGCGGAGATTGGGTGAACACATCGCCCCATAGAACATCTTGGACAGCTTCTGGAAGTATGCGATGGTGCGTTTGATAAGTGTCGTTCTCGTCCTCCTCCTCCTACTTCACTTCCTCCGCCTCCTCCTCCTCCTCCTCTTCCTCCTCCTCCTCCTCCTCCTCCTCCTCCTCCTCGGGGGGAAGCATAATAGAGGAAAGTTGCAAGAGTTAGCGGGGAATCGCCCTGGACGGCCCTGGGAAGGAAACATCAGCCACAACCTGGGTTCGCTCCCTAACTCCCTCTCGGACTAAAACCCCCCATGGGACCCGGTCCTCCGACGCCGTGTTTGTTTCATGATGTCGACCCTGGGGGTCTGGACGCGGACCAGCTCTTCCTCCAGAATATATATATATATATATATATATATATATATGTGTGTGTGTGTGTGTGTTGAATGTCGTGGGGCCAGGCGAATGCCCACACAAGGCAGGAAATGCACAAAACCTTCCGCCGTTCCTTTGTCACGACGCTCGGGAGCCTTGTTCTCGGGTGACACCTCGGGTCTCTGGCGGCCGTACGGGGCGATCCTGGCAACCTGGAAGCCTCTCGGGGCGCAGCTGCAGGAAGGCATCCCGAGGCTGGAAGACCCCCCAAACCCAACGAAAACCGCCGAGAACCCTCCTATCGGGGCTCTTCTGACCCGGGTCGATGCAAACCCGGGTCAGTCAGGCCTTGCAGACTCCTGCAGATCCTGCAAGATCCTGCGCCCAAAACCGGGCCAGTGCGAAAGATCCTGCAGGATCCTGCGCCCAAGCCCGCGTCCATGCGACCCTGTCCCTGCAGGATCCTCTAAGATCCAGCGCTCTGACCGACCCCCGTTTGCACTGACCCCCGTCTCAAGGCTCCCGAAGACCAGGCACCGCACCATTCCCGGGGGCGCGCAAGCATGGATTAGCGGTCCATGGACTTGGCGCGCGGTCGCCTAATCCGTGGATCGGGGGAGGCGCCCTCCAAACACACGCGGCCGGTGCCGCCTCGGTCGGCGGCGGGAATCCGCGATTTCCCATGGAAACGGCTCCCGATCCCATGCTCCGAGCCGTCCTCCCGCGGCGGCCCGCCTGCATCCCCTCCGCCTCAACCTCCGGCACCAGGGCGAGCTGCAGCCCTGCCGCCGCGCCCTCGCGCCTCGGGCCGCCGCCGCAGCACCGGCGACGCCACGGCTGCCGCCGCCGCCGATCGCCATCTCTGCTTCGACGGCGTCGTACGTTGCCAGTCGTCGTCGACTTCGACGGCGTCGTATGTCGTCGATGGCGTCGTCGGCGACGACACCTGCGACCGTCGGCGCCGACGTCGTCGGGATCGTCATCGACGTCGTCGTTGAGCAAGGCGGCGTCGTCGTCAACGTCGTTGCGATCGCATCGTCGTCGACGTGGGTCGCTTCGCCACCGTCGCCAACAGCGTCGTCGAAGTCGTCGTCGATGCCTGTCGTCTTGAGCCTTGAATGCCCTGGGACTCGTGGAAGGCTCTCAGGAGGCTCAGCAAAACTCTTGAGAATCCGAGGTGGCCCTCTGTTTGGCATGATGCAAACCGGTATTGAGAAAAAACGGGTCCCGGACCCTGAGGCGTCCCTCTGGACCAGCTTTTCGTCCGGCGCGAACTTCTGACAATCCGAAGGCCCCTGGAGGGACCCAACAAAACCCCACACGAAATCAACAACTCAAGACCCGTGTCTCTCTCTCTCTCTCTCTCTCTCTCTCTATATATATATATAGATATATCATGGGCCCTTGACGGCGATCTGTCGGGGCTTCTGCAAATTCTCCGGGACTGCCCCCGGATCGCCACGCGGTGGCAGCACAGATGGTGAGCGCACTTTGCGCAAGAGGCTCCTACTGAAGGCTCCTAGGAAGGTCCTTGGAAATTTCTGGGAAACTCAACGGTGACTTCCGGGTCAGATGAGGCTCGCGGCCACAGCGCAACGCCACGCACTGCGAACACTCTGGGGGTGGGTCCAAGAGGCGCTGGTGGAGCGTGGGAGATTCTGGGGGGGCGTGGGGAGCTTGTCGGAGATCGTTCCGAAGCGAAGTAAGGATTATGTAAATAGAATGTTGCAACGCTGCATGGATTGGCCAAACGCGCTGCTGAGAATGGACCATTGGGCCGTCGCACCGCAAGTCGCGCTCCAGCATGCTTCACCTCTACAACGCCACAGAGATGTAATGCTGCATCGCAATTGTGTCGCGGACATTGGTCCACCGCGATGTTGCCAACAGCGCTGCAACACTACAGTGATGCTGCTCTGCTGCAGTGCCGTAGGCAATTCACTGGAAGCTGCTGCCTGCGAGTGTCTTGATCACTTGCGCTAGAAAGTGTACGTACCTGCGCGGCCTGGCAAGACACACGTTGGACGCCCCATGCACTCACAAGAGAACGTTACAATATCGCTGTCCTGTCCATATCAGTGGGGCTGGTAGCCACTCAGGGCGGCCTTCTAGATTCTAGCTAATCCTGGCGCGTAGTTTGGGGCAGGCATGGCGGTTGTCTCAGTGAACTCGCTGGGTGGCCGCGCGCACGGCGAAAACAATCGCGGCGGCGGCCGGCGGGGGCAAAGGAGAGGGGGGGGGAACGCCCGAGCGAGCGGGAAACACGGCTCGGTTGAGCTGGCCCGAAGACGCTTCACAGTACACCCACAGCTGAAGCCGAAGCCTCAAGCCTAGTGTCCTGGGCGAGGCGGAGCGGCGGAAGAGGCGGAAGCAAGGGGGCGGAGAGGCGGAGAGGGGGCCAGGGGGCCGAGAGGCGGAAGAGGCGGCCAAGGGCAAAAGAGGCGTGAAAACCATCCTCCGCCGCCTCCTCCTGTCGGGCGTGACTCCTCATGGGAGGAGGGGGTGCGATACGTGGGAGGGAGCATGAAGCATCGTGCACACCTCTCGTGCCCCTCTTTGGGTCCCGGCCAGTGCGCCCAATGAGGGCCCCTGCGGGTACAAAAGATACACCTCTCCTCTCGGCGACACGTAAGGGTGACCCTAGGCAAGAGTGCCCTTTGGTGCGCGGCCTTCGGGGTGTGGGCCTGGAGCAACCGCGCAAGCCGAGGCCGTCGGATTGCATTAACGATCGGTGGGGCGCGCTTCGATAGACCCTTAGCGCCAGCAGGCAATTGCGGACTTCCGCCAATTCGTTCCGGGCGCCCCAGAACACCCGCCCGAGGGCTCTGCGAAGCCAGACGTAATCGGGCGCCACCGCGGAATGTTCTGGCACTGCCGGGCCGCATCGCGATGACGTCTGACCGGGTCCGGCGTCAAGGCCGAAACTGGGCCGAAACTTGCCCCCCCCGCGGCCGCAAATAACTTTCAATAGTGAAGAATTGAATTGTAAAGCGCGGAATACGAACAATTATTCAAAGTTAGCCAAATTTAGTCAAAGTTAGTCAAAGTTATTCCAAGACGATTTGGGACCAGTCCCAAAGCGGAGAGCACGTCGCCCGCTCGACTGGGCCCTCCCTCGCCAACGAAACACGAAACGAAAAACGAAACATGCGTTGCGATCGATTGCGAGGGGCGCACCCTGAACTCTGATGCGATCGCAGACTGGTGCAGCGTGCGCCGACACGAGGCGGAGCGCACCCCATTAGGGCCAACACTAACGGTCACCCTGACCAAGGGTCACTCTTACGTGTTGCCGATCCTCTTGAGCAGGGACCGACCGTCCCGGCACTCCTATAGGCCTACCACGAAATGCCTTAGAACCCAGAAATGTTCTAAGAACAATAACGATGCTCTTATAGCATCAAACCGATATGTTAAGGCAGGACAGTCCCAGCCAGAAATGTTCTAAGTACAGTTCGTGCAAGCTACAGGAGGCTCTTCGAACATTATTTGACAGGCCTATGGGCGAGCCAGGACGCTTTGCTACTGTTTGAACACCGATCTGCTGCTCTGCTGCAATCCGTGTGGGCGCACCCCCTTTTGCTCCGACCAGCGTGCCGGCAGGCTCAGCGAGTCTCGGGCGCGGGCCGCCCGAGAGGCAGTAAAACCTGGGGCCCCAGGCTTGGGCCCACAGTGGTTGCGGGAGCACGGGAGAGGGGCAGAGGGAGAGCAAAGAGGGAAGGGATAGGCGGGTTGAGGCGAGCCTGGAAATCTTCACACGCCCTCAAAAGGAGACGCCGAAAACCGCCTGGCACCTCAATCTGCGATGTCCCGCATCTCATTAGCTCTCACGAGTTTGTCCTGCTGCCTCTTCTCCGTCTTCCTAGTGTCGATGGCGGTCTTGCGGCTAGCACGTTGCATACTCTTCTTCATCTTGATCGCCGCCGCCGCCGGGTCCTGCACCAGGCTCCACTTGGCCTCCCGCAGCACCTTGTAGAGGTAGACCTTGTCAACCCAAACTTCGTCAGCACATCTGCGATGTTCTGCGAGCCGTCAATCCACCTGAGGTGGGTGTTCTCGCAGCGCAGCACCTCTCTGAGCAAGGCGCCCTCGATCGCCATCCTCTTGTCCTTGCTCTTGGCCGAGCCCTCCTTCGTGAGGTGGTCGTAGACGGACTTTGCGTCTGTTGCCCAAAAGCGAGGAAGCCGCTGCACCTCCCCCTGCCAGTTGAGCAAATCCACCGAGACATTCGTAGCCTCTCTGAACAGCACTGCCGCCCAGTCGACGGCCTCCACTGCGTCGGCCAGGTGACTGGCCTCCGCCGCCAAGGTTGAGCGGCACACACGCTGCGTCATGCCACTCTTCCAGTCCAGCACTGCCACTGGTGCTTGGTGTCCGGCCAGAGTGCCGTCGGTCGTGAGGAGCACCACGTGGCCACCACAGCTCTTGTAGCGCTCGATGTCGTCGTGCTCCGGGCCGTTCGCGTGACCTGCGTCCACGGCCGCGCCGATCACAGCGCTGGACAGCCTCAAGTTGGCCGGGTAGACCAGCGCGACCTCAGCGCCCTTCTTGGCCTCAGACACCGCCAGGTTCGCCTTCGCCAGGTCCGCCACGCACGGGGCCGCTCGGGCCCTCTGCAGCTCGCCCGAGAGGAAGGCCAGGTCGAGTCGGCACTGTCGACCTAGCCAGCCGATCTCACCAGATACCCTCAGCAGCTCCTTCGCCTCATCCTCGTTCAAGTCCTCCTGCAACTGCTTCCTTCGACCTGCTGGGATCTTGATCGGCTTGAGGGAAGTTTCGTAGTTCACCATCTTAACCAGAAAACCTCTCGGATCACTTGAAAGCTCACGGCCGCGGAAGGTGAAGGGCAGCTCGCTCCACTTCCACTGGAACGTACCCAGGACCTTCGGCAAGAGGTCCGACAGCTGCATGTCCTTCATCCTCGCCACCAGCACGTCGTCAACGTGCGAGACCGCGACGCCCTTCAGCTGCCCGTCCACGCGCCTGTAGAAGAGCGCCGGCTCCAGGCGCGACTGAAGCCAGCCGTCGGACAGCAAGGCGTCACGCAGCGCTAACCAGAATAGCCTTGCTGCCTCAGCGAAGCCGTAGATGGCCTTGCGGGCCCTCAGCAACTGGCCCGGGGCAAGGCCAGGCAGGCCTCCTCGAGGCTGCTCCAGGTAGACCTCGCGCTGCAGGTTCTGCCCATTGAAGTAAACGTTCTTGACGTCGCCCAGGGAAAGGGCCATGCCCATGGCCGCTGCCAGCGTCAGGAGCAGCGCCTCCGCCAACCGTGAGGCAGTAGGAGCGTCCCGCCTGAACATACCCAGCAAGCGGTCGCGAAAGCCCACCACGACCAGGCGGCTCTTCGCGAGCAGCGGCAGAGGGGCTCCGGCCTCATCATACTTCCCGTCGTTCATGTCGGTATCCACCCAGCGCATCGGGATGATGATGTTGGCCTTGTCTGCGCGGATCGCCTCGCTCTCATCCGGCGGGATCGGCTCAGCCGCGTCAAAGTCCTTCCAGGATCGCCACTCTGCATCACGGCTGCCACCTCGATCCATGAACATCCGGCGTTGCTCCTCAGGCAAGCTGCCGAGCTTGATCTCCTTCCTCCCAGGCTTATTCGTCAGGAAAGCGTGCTCGAACTCATTCCGCATCAGCCCGAAGATGAACTGCTCCTTGCCAATGCCCTCCTGGACGAAGAAAGCCTCACCCTGCTGATACGTCTCCACACCGGCCTCCATGGACTCATCCAGGTCATTGTCCAGCACGAACTTCGCCGAGTCGACAGGCGCCGAGAGGCTGGACCCTGCAGTCCCCTGTCGGATCGAGACAGGGACATCGTCCAGCAGGCGACGTCGCTTGGCCTCCCGCTCGCGGCGCTCCTCAGTCTCCTCTTCCTCCAGGAGACTCCCAGGACGCCGATGCCGAGAGGCCCCCGGCTCGGGCTCCGCGTGCACCCCGTGGGAGTCGGGGTGCCAGTCATCGTCGCCGTCGTCCCTCATGATCTCCTGCATCGCCGCGTCGAACTCCATCGCGTCGAAGTCCAGGTCGGGCGGCGCGGGCACGTCCTCAGCCCCCACAGCTGGGGCTGGCGCCGCGGGCGGCTCGGGCGCGGCTGGAGCCGCGCGGGGAGCCTCCGCCTCAGGCGGGGCCGGAGGCGCCTCCGGCTCAGGCGGAGCCGAGGCGGGCTGCGGCTCCTCCGGCACCTCCGCCCGCGGCCCGACGTCCATGCCGCTCTCGTCGCCCTGCTCAGCGGGCTCCTGCCCCGCCGCGGCGGGGGGCCTGGGCCGGCCTCGCAGGTCCACGAAGCCGCTGCCGCCGCTGACGGGCGCGTCGTGCACCAACTCCTGCTCCTGCGCAATCGATCTCCAGGCGTGGATCTCGCGGCCAGTCGCTGCGGCCAGGTGCTCTGGGCTCGCGAGCACGGTGAGGCCACGGAAAGCAAGCCACACTCCATGCCGTCCCTCATGTCCGATCACGCGCGCCAGCCCTCGCCAGTTGTCTGGATGCTCAGGTCGATGCTTGGCTGGCTGCGCTTGGTCGTAGAAAAGCACCCACTGGCCAACAACGAACGGCCCTCTCGTCGGTCGTATCTGTCGAAGCTCCGCTCGTCGAAGTCGATCCTCCGTGTCGGTCTGGATGAAAGCCATCCGGCACTGGGTCCTGATCTCCACCTTGCGAGCAAAACGCGAGCCCGGCGTAGCAGCTGCCATCTGCTCGCCCACACGCTCCACCTCGGCGTCGTCCGCGAGGCTCGCCGGGAGGCGAACGTCTCGTCCGAGGACCCAGAGGTAGGGACTGAAACCAGCCCGCCGGGCCAGCGTGTTCTTGGCCCTGTTGCACTCCGTCACTGCCGTTCTCATCTCCTCAAGGCCCGCCACCTGCCTGTCGTGCACCACCCTCGTGAGCATCGAGTTCCAGATGCCGTCGTGGCGCTCCATCTTGCCGATGTGCGACGGCGAGGCCAGAGCGGCCGAGTCCAGGCGCACGCCCTCCTGCTCCAGGTAGTCCGCGAACTCGCCCAGGAAGGACCACGCGCGATCCACCATGATCGCCTCCTCCGGCTGGCCAGCCCAGGAGACCCAGCAGAGCTCGTAGAACTTCCTGACCTCCGAGGCCTTGGGGTTCTTGTGAGTGTCCTCCAGCAGGCAGACCACGTGGAAGTTCGTCCCCATACACATGATGCCAAGGAACTCCCAGTTGTTGCCGGCGCTGTCGACATTCTCGAAGCAGTCCATCGCGAGCAGCACGTTCAACTCGTCGACCCTCGGGAGCTGACTCGGACGTGGGATGCTGGGTCGCTGCACTCGCCGGCAGCTCTCGCAAACAAACAGCCTCGCTGCCTTCAGCGCCAGCGCCGTTGCCTTGCCCAGGCGCAGCGCCCTGAGCAGCGCTGGCCGTGAGGGGTGCCCGAGGTTCACGTGCACCCGCTCGATCGCCCTCTTGACGGCTCTCGGCAACAGCTCCCAACGTCGCTTCCTCTCCCGTGAGGCGTCCCGCTGCTGTGCTGCAGCCGGCCCCTCGGGCAGGTCGCCCCGCTCGTAGCCCGCGAAGTAGAAGACCACCACGTCGTTCTCGAGTAGATGTCGAGGCAACCAGCGCCGTCGTGCTTGCAGTGACTGTTGCGACCAGTCCTCGAAGTCTAGCCTGAAGAGCTGGTCGCCCTTGAGCGTAGTGGCCATCCTGAGCGGGGCGTCCGCGGCGTGCAGCTGCGGCTGCGCCGTCTGGAGCCGCTGACCCCGCGTCTAGCCTTCACCATCTTCAGCGGCTCGCTGATGACTCCTCCCAGCTCCTCCAGGAAGAGGTCCGAGCCCCAGATGATCGTCTCGATATCCTCGCCCATCTTCTCCAGTAACCTCCTATGCCAACTCCGGAACGTGTCCAATTCGGCGCACAGCTCCACCGTCAGCAGCTCGAACTCGCCGTACTGCGTACGCCGTCCCCGGCGGAAGCCCAGCGGACGTCCGCCAGGAGGCACTCCGCGCTCGCGTCAAGCAGGCGCTCGGCCGCGCCTGGGCCTCACGGGCACCTCGGCCGGTGCCTCTGGGGCCCCCGCCGCCGCCTCGGCAGGCGGCGCGTCCTCTCCGAGAGGCGGGCCCTCCTGGTGCGCCTCCTCTGGCACAGGCTCTCCCCGCGGCGGGCTCCGCGATCGCGGACGCTCGTGCGGGAAAGCATCCTCCACAGGGAAGGCCGCATCCATGACCAGCGAGCTGCGGTAGTCGATCTGCATCTGCTGGAGCACGCCGCGACAGAAGGCCTTCGCGAGGCCCACGGGGTAGGCCGCCGCCTGCTGCGCCCGATAGCCACCCGAGTTCTTCCCGAGCAGCTGCTGGTGAGCGCCGGGCGGACAGGCACAGCGCTTACTCAGTTGATTCGCCACCGCTGCGCTGTTCGTGAGCCACCCTGTCGGCTTCTTGATCGGCTTGCCCGTGTCCCTGTCGCAGGCTCCGTAGGCACATTGATCTCCGCGCACAAACGCAACACCTTCCAAATTCCACAAACGTATCAGGATGCCATCATACTCCCAAGAAAGTGCTGTCAAAGGCTGCTCTATCAAGAAATACCGTCCTCTCGCATGCACACATCGGGATGCCCGTCGAACGAGCAAAAGATAACGACGAGCACTCCTGCGGACCTCATCCCAGTCGATGAGCTTGTTCATGTTGGTCATCAAGGACCACGGATGACAGGGAAAAACCAACACTGTGATGTAAGGCCAGTGCAGGTCGAGGATCCGGTAGAGTAAGGCCCGTCCAGGGCCCTCGAGCAAATCATAGTCGGGAGAGTGGTCCACATCCAGCGGCTGAGACTGCATCCAACCGTACTCCTTTGCACCGTAGCGCGTCAGGATGTGCTCTCCACCGAACGGCTCGAACACCACCGTGGTCTGGAAGTCGGCGGTCACGAAACGCTCCGCCTCGAACCTCGGTCGAAGTAGCTCTTTCCGTAGCCGACGATCCTCTCCACGAAGCTCACGCCAAGTGGACTCGAGCTTCTTCCGAGTCGTCTTGGAGAGGATCCCTGTCGCGTCGGTGGCCAGCACACCGCGATCCTTCGACAGGAAGGCGTGGCCAACCTCCTCCTCGACTCGGATCTCCTCGCCGTCGGACTCCTCGAAGACCGACTCCTTCTGCGCCTGCGCGTAGAAGAACTCCGAGTCCCTATTCGACGAGATCGCCGTCGCTGATCTTGAACTCGAAGCTGCTGCCGATCGGTGACCATCATCGTCTCCCCAGTCATCAAGTCGCACTGCCAAGCGACCGCCCACCTTGAGCAGCTGCACGTCCACGGCGAGCGTCTGCAGCTCCATCCGCATCTCCTTCAAGTGGAGCACGGCACCCAGCGCCTCCTGCGACGCCAGGCTGACCAGGAGCGGGGCGTCGCAGTCCTCCATCTCCGTGCTGAAGATCACCCCGCGGCGGCCGCCAAGGGCGACCGGGATCTCGACCACGCGCCCCTCCTGCCTCTTGCCGAAGGCCGAGGAGAAGCTCCCCACGCGGTCCGTCATCTTGACCTCGAGGCCGCGGGGATGCAGGCACCTCTTCTCGAACAGCTCCCGCCAGTGTTTGCCGTGCGTGCATCTTGTGCAACCGGTATCGATGAGCGCCACTGGTACGTCAGACGTGTCACTGTCTTCACTCACCATAAGCACCATCTCCAGAAATCCTTCCCCGGGTACTGGGCGCACGTGGCGCCCGCGAGGAGCCCCTCTGGGCCCCGGTGTGGAGTGTGCTCAGGCCGAAGACGGCGGTGGCCGCGCCTCGCGCAGCCTCTGCTCGCCCTCGTTGTAGTTCAGCGTGCCCTTGCAGTCCGGAAACTGCCTGCATCCGAAGAACCAGCCGCCTGTCCGATGATTCTGGCGAGCCACCAGAGCCTTGGAGCACTTCGGGCACGGCAGCACCTCGTCGTCCTTCATCGTCGGGAGGATCGTGCTGAGGCTGTCGCTGGCCACACTCGCACTGTCGCCGACGTCGCTGCCCACGAGCTTGAAGGAGCCGAGGTCGGAGCCGCGGTCCGAGCTGACGAGGAAGGCCGAGTCGTACTCGACGTCGTCCAGCACGAAAAGGGTCGCGTCCCTCCGCTTCTTGGCACTGGTGCTGCTCGTTGGGCGTGGGCTGCTGCCCGAGGCCGAAGGACTGCTCCAGGCCGGGCGCGAAAGCGCCGCCGCTCGGCCGCGTGGGTCAGCTCGACTCTTCGGCTTCGCTGACGGCTTCGGCCTCTTCGGACCCATGGGGCACTCCGGGTCCCCAGCCCAGTGGCCGAGCTTGCCGCGCGCCCCGCAGTGCGTGCGCTGCTTGTCCTTCGCGATCTCCGCCTTGCGCTCCTCGAAGGTCAGCGTGCCCTCCGCCTTGAAGAAGCCGCGCTTCCTCTGGAGATCCCGGACCTTGGCCCGGGCGGTGTCGTAGGCGGCGTACGCGTTGTTGATCGCCTCGTCCTGACTCGCGCCAGCGTCGCTGGCGATGTCCTCCTCGGCGTCACCGTCCTCGTAGGCCTCGTAGACCTCGTCGTCGTAGTCCTCGTCCTGCTCGTCCTCCTCGTCGTCCACGTCGTCCGCCTCGGTGTAGTACACCCTCGTCTGCTTCTTGGACTTGTCCTTGCCGCCCTTGCCTCCGCCCTTCGAGCGTCCATGAGGATGAGGCTGTGGCGGCCGGGAGGTCTTCTCCTGCAGGTGGAGGTCGTGGTAGTTCGTCTTCAGTGTGTTTTCGAAGGCCTTTGTCTCATACTTGTTGTCCGCCACCATCGTGACCAGCCTCTTCTGGTCGTCTGTCAGCATAGCCCCCTCAAGGAGGAAGTACGCGTAGAGATCGTCGCTGAGCTTCGTCCCCGTGTCCAGCTCTGTCAGCTCCTTGTACTTGTTGTGGAACGTCCTCAGGTACTCGACGATCTCCTGGCCACGACGACGGCGGGACCTCTTGAAGAAATCGTCGAACTTCTGCTGCTTGCGCACTACCGCTACCTTGTCTAAGCCATCGAGAGCCTCGATGATCTTCTGGTGCGAGCCCTCCTGGGTGAGCGACGCCAGGTCGTCCAGCAGGGGCTCCACCGCCTTCCACGCGCGGCCAGTGAGGCCTCGCGTCAAGCGCAGGCCCAAGTTCGCCCGCTTCTCCTTGCCAGCCTCCGTTGAGCTCGACTGTGTGCTGTACTCTATCATCACCCTCATTCGATATTCTCGTAGAAGAGCTATGTTCTCACCGTCCCAGTGCGGGATGCCCTCTTTGTCGACAAAGAGCTCCTCTGCGGACTCGTCTGTCATACGGGCCATTCTCTCCGCCGTAGATCGAAAACCTGCTCCGCGACCAGTTTGAACACCGATCTGCTGCTCTGCTGCAGTCCGTGTGGGCGCACCCCCTTTTGCTCCGACCAGCGTGCCGGCAGGCTCCGCGAGTCTCGGGCGCGGGCCGCCCGAGAGGCAGTAAAACCTGGGGCCCCAGGCTTGGGCCCACAGTGGTTGCGGGAGCACGGGAGAGGGGCAGAGGGAGAGCAAAGAGGAAAGGGATAGGCGGGTTGAGGCGAGCCTGGAAATCTTCACATACTGCTTGATCCTCACCCCCCGTCTTCGCGCCCCCAGTTCGGACGTTGGCAGAATTGAGCTTAATGGGACCTGGTTTAAAAATGTGTACTGGGGGACGCCCCCCCGCCCCGTTCCACTAACCGGAACTGCCGTCACCCGAAAAAACACCAGCCACGGCATACCTGGCTTAGTGATCCTGGCTAATTTGGGGGCTCCAGGGCCCTACCACTAACCGGGTCCACTTACCTGGGGTCCTAGCTCTACCCGACCAGTGCTCGACGCCCGATCCTGCGCCGCCCCTCCGAGGCGGGAATTTATCCATAACCACCGCCTGGGGGGTCGATCTTCGCGGACCTCCACAGGCGGTAAATATGGATATGCTCAGGCCCCCGGGGGCCAAACTATATCCGATTCCACCGCCCGCCAGGGCGCCAGGACGTCGGTCCCCAGGCGGTGGCCATGAATAAATTCCCGCCTCGCACCCCTGGCCTCCCTTTGCGGTGGACAAATCGACGGATCTGGACCCGCGAAAAGGACGGCCGCGACGCCCTCTCGCGAACCGAAAACGGCCAATTCCTGAATCGACGTGTCAGGGTAGGAGGTCTGTCCAACTCCGACTTCCCTTTCGGGTCGGGCGAAAGGGGGGGATAGCAAAGGGGGGGGTGAAAATCAGCTCACGTATCTGATTTTCCCGGCGCCTCCTGGCGCCGGATGGAGCTATATATCGAGGAATGAGCCCCTCGGTGAGGCCGAAACCAGCTGCATGCAGCAAATTTCGTAACCCCCCTTTCGTCCGGCCAGACCCTTCTGGGCTGCTCGGACGCGCGCCCCTCGCCGGCGGCGCCAGCGCGCCCGCCGCCCACGGCGTCTGGGGCACCTGGGCGGGCGGAGCGGCGGGGGGGGGGGGAAGGGGTCGGGGGTTGGGAGGATGGAGGAGGGAGAGGGCGGGAAGCAAGAGGGTAGGAAGAAAACGTGTAGAGGTAGAGGGGGGAGGAGGAGGCGGAGGAGGAGGAGAAGGAGGAGGGAGGAACAGGACGAGGGGCTGGGAGGGGGGAGGAGGAGGGAGGGGAGGGGGTGGGGGAGGGGGAAGGAGGACTGCCCTGCAAGACCGCTCCGCGGCTGCAAGATAGATGACCACCCCGCCCGCCCACGACAAAAAACCGCTACGCGGACAGAGTTTTGAGTATGGAGGGCAACCCAACGTAGAGCAGGAGTGTGGGGAGCTGACAGCAGCACCATCGTCGCCATTGGCTGGCGAAAACCCCGACCACAACGACGGGGGAAACTTTCCGCTTCAGGAAGCATGTCTAACATACGGACGTTCAGCACGGCATTCTTATTTCGATCCCCTCAGGTGGTTCAATCATTGTGTCCAATCACGAAGAGCGTCTAGAACCCCGCATTAAGCAAGGATATCCTGCACTACTAGGTTGAAAGGCGCTGCCATTACCCGCTCACCCATCCGGCACGAAGTGTCACAAGGCCCCATCCTTCGAATGGCAATGTCCATCGCGAACAATGCAACACACACACATATATATATATATACTCTTGCGAACGATCCGCATGCAGACACGATGTCGTTATTGTTCGGATTATGTCTTGGTCGCGTTGGATATAATATTGCAACGTGCGCATGTGTTGTTGCTATGCCAGTCGCAACTATTCATTTGCCGCCGCAAGCTGTGCGGGAAGTGTATGGCACAGGCTGCTCACACGTGCCAATTTGAAAGGCAACGATCCAGCGCGCGCACATGCACTTCGATTGAGGTTGCCATGTTGTCGCGCGTCTGGTTTCAAGCAAATGGGCGAGTACTTCCGCGCGTCAACCTGGTAATCCTACATCTTCTCTTGGGAGCCCGACACCGTCAGGGTAAGCGTTCCAACGCTGCCTAACACGATAGACTTCGCCTGATGTGCCCCGTTACAAATGACACTCAACAACTTTGCACTGGGCGGCTGTTGCGTCAATGAATCCCGCCACTGGCGGTCATAACGCGCCCAGGATTTTAGACATGTGACGCGGCGCGCGCCATCTCCACTTTTGGTAAGGATCCGCGCGCTGAACTTTCCATAGCGCGATTCCCACAACTTGCTGGTGTGCACACCTTTTCGGCGCAGTCTTTGCGTACACGATTTAGAAATGTAGTGGCTCCCTTGCGGGTGTCCAACCCCGTCCAACTGCATACTGGCAAGGCGCAAACACCGTACTGTCTGCTGGGTCACGACACGCGTTGATGGGAGCGGCCAGTGGGCGCCCGCCGCTGGCTGCTCAGGCAGACACCACCAGGGACCTCTTCCCCTCCGAAGCCGACTCCGTCGCAGTAGGCATGGCGTTTGCGTGGGACGTGTCAGCGTGCCACAGTCTGAGCGCGCAATGACGTGCGCGCCAACGCGCCATGCCGCAAGGCGTCGTCAGCCGCCCTCTCCCCGAAGCCATCGTCGACCTGGCCGCGTCGCGGCCTCGTGCCGCCTGCCCCGCCTTCTGTCGACAACAAACTTCGCTGCACACGTTGGCAAATGCGCGCCACTTCGGCGTGGAATCCGCCGTGCACGTGCAAGAGAACAGCCGGTCGTTCCAGATCCCGATTGTTCTCTCCAAGAGAACGTAAGCTTGCGGTTGGCCAAACATCAAACGCCACCGGTTCAACTTCAGCTGGGAGGAGAGGGGAAAGAATGCGAAAAGGGTTCCTTCCTTTCCTGCTCCTCCCTTCCCTCCGCGACGAGATGTAGATTAGCCTCGCAGTAGCCTGCGATCGCGGGGGGAAATCATCGCAGGAAATGCTTACGAGCCCCAAAACAAGCAATATGCGCCGTTCGATGGCAGCGATGACGACGACGACGACGCGCGGCCAATGCCCGATGAGGGGGGCAGGGGGCTGCGAAGGCCGCTGTAGCCGACGGCGACGCGCTGCGGATGCCATATGAGGATGGGGAGGCCGCCGTGGACGACGACGACGACGACTGCGAGACTGCGAACCCCAGAATATAAATAGCCTGCGAGCGAGCGCCGCGACAGGCCTGACAGGGAAAACGTCACCGTCCCGGATGTAGACGATCCGCTTTGCACTGTTTTTCGTATGTGAAAGACAACCACGCTGATGAATAAGAAAAAGACACGGTCCCCTCGTCGGTGCCCGCGATTAGCCTGGCGAGCGTAGCCTTTTCAGTTTGAAGACAGGTTCTTACCCATCGGGGTCTATTCACCAGCCATGGGATGCGCGAGCGTCTCTTGTTGAACACAACTGCCGTATGAATGGTTTTCCTGCAGTGGCTTAGCATTGCGTTCTGCAATCAAGACAAGCACTGTCTTTTGGTTGTGTTCTTGGGTAGCGGCTGTCATCGGCCACGCCCCTCCCCCCCTCCCAAATGACGTCCCGTTCCGCGCCGGCGGCGTCCGAGGCCAAGTGGGATGTCCGAGGCCAAGTGGGATGTCCGAGGCCAAGTGGGACGAGCATGTAGGTGGCGATCTGCACCACAGCGCTTGTGTACACCGCAGTGCTCGCGTGCACCAAAGCGCGCGTGTACACAACAGCGCCTGTGTACACTGCAACAGCCGTGTGCAACGCAGCGCTTGTGTACGCCACACTGCTTGGGTGCACCAAACCGCCTGTGTACACCAGAACGAATGTGTACACCACAGCAACCGCGTGCCACACAGCGACTGTGTACACCACAATGCTTGGGAACATCGCAATGCCTGTGTACACCACAACGCCTGTGTACAGCACAGCATCCGCGTGCAGCTCAGCGCTGGCGAACACCACAATGCCTGCGTGCACACAACATGTAGAAGAAACATGTAGCAGAGGATTTGATACGGACAGCTAGACACCACACCGCAGAAATGCTGATAATAAAATGCGCTGTTCGTTCCTCCTCCCTCCTACTCATCCTCCTTTTCCTCCTCCTCCGCCACCACTTCCTTTTCCCTTGCCTCCTCCTCCTCCTCCTCCTCCTCCTCTCCCACCGTTCCCCCAGTCGTGCGGTTCGGCCCTACAGGCGCACGTGCGCATCTCAATGTGCACAGCAAAATGGGTTATTGAATCAGTCCAATTGGTTCTCGGACGGCCATTTCGGCGGGAGCATTCCGGATGCAGATGGGCGTCGTTAGGATGGTGTGGGAGGGCTCGGAAGGACTCGTAGATTCCAGCGGCGCTCTTTTTTCTATAAGGCTCAATTCCAACTTCTCTGTTAAACACGTTTTGTGGAAGTCACAGGCGCTGTATGTGTCATGAGATCCCTTCTCACAACAGTGGTGTTCTGTTGCACACGATTGCTGTGGTGCACACAAGCGCCGTGGTGTACTCAGGCGCTGTGGTTCACGCGGGCACTGGTGTACACTGGTGCTGTGTTGCACACGGCTGATGTGGTGTACGCAGGCGATGTGGTGTACACAGGTGCTGTGGTGCACGCGGGCACTGTGGCACACTCTGGCGCTGTGTTGCACGCGGCTGCTGTGGTGTACACAGGCGATGTGGTGTACACAGGTGCTGTGGTGCACGCGGGCACTGTGGCACACTCTGGCGCTGTGTTGCACGCGGCTGCTGTGGTGTACACAGGCGCCGTGGTGCACGCCGGCGGTGTGGTGTACACAAGCGCTGTGGTGCAGATCGCCACCTGCATGCTGCTGCTACCCGTCCTCGGTCATTCCCGCCGGCGCTCTCTCGCGGCCAGTTGTCTCGGTCTCGCTCTACAGTCGGGGCGTTGACCGAAGGAACCAAAAATAAGGAACGAGGCCCCTTTTTTTT